GTACTTCTAAGGTGTAAGTCACTAATGAAGAGTGAATCTTGGAGTTTCTGTCAACAGGACCTATAGTTCTGTTGAATAACTTTTTTGAGACTATTGAATTATTTATCTGCTCTGATTTCAAGAAGACTTCAGGTGGATTATTTAGATAAAACACAGCTTCTCGATGTAGGAAAAGCCGAGATCTCAAGAAAAAGTGTGCTAATTCAAATATTTATACTGTCAACAGTGATAAGAGAACTCAGAAGGATTTTAAAATTAAGCCAGATGGTTGTAACTCGAGAAGGAAACGAAAAGTTGCCAAAATATTTGCAATCTTACTCTAATATTATACCACCAGTGAAAACCCGGAAGCGCTGGACGGCCTTTTTGTTTTAGCATGAAACTCCTCGGCAGTGCGCTCAGTAGTCTAAATGTCGAGAATTCGCGAGCGTGACTCAAGGTCTTAGGTTCGATTCCCGCATACAGGGTCGTGGATACGCACTGCTGAGAACTCATATACTACGACGAAACGGCAGCCCAGTACTTCCACGTTATTAATGGTGGCCTAAGATTGGTCGATTCATAATGTTATTGAAAATCAACAGCCTCCACAACCCTATAGCGTTAACTCTAATAGTTGTAAGTGTGAACTTTTGAGAAGTTTTATACGGCAACAAAACAGCTATTCAATATTTTCTGATTTTTACTAGTTATCTAGCTGAGATCTATCCGTGATATGAATTGACAATTTATCAATCTTCATTACGTCTATATACCGGTGTGGCGTGGTCTACTTATATCCATATAAGTAGTATATGGTGTGGGTCAGAATGTATTTTGGCAGAAGACCGATGAGGAAAGAACTGAAATGAAGCGCAATCGTTTGGAAAATGCATGAGCAATGGAATAAGAGAAGAAACAGTGAAGATTGAAACAATTGGTTGTTAATTTGCAAATTGACTGTTCATTGTTTGGTTATCAGAATTTACTGAGATAGTCTGTAATGTTTGCTCAAATACATTCGATTGTCCCCAATAGTGTTCTATTCACTACATTTGTTGTCGCTGTCAACCAGGAGGAGGAAGGGTGCTGTTCTGCGGACGCCGCTGCGTGTCTGGAGTCGAGGTGCTAGTTGGATCAGTCTGGTGCGGAGAGTTGGCGTCGAGCGGAGTGTTCTGGCGGAGCGGCGTTGGCTGTAGCGGGTACTGTCGACGGAAAGGAGCAATGGGACGTGCGGCTGCTGGGCGGACATCGGATGTAGATGGCTCAGCAGGCCGGTGGAGTACGGATGTTGAACGTCCCAGGTGCCGGGTCGATGCGGATGTTGGTGCCCCGGCAAGTCGACGGAGCTATGGAGGTCAGCGCTCCACAGACTCGACATTCTACCGGAGAGTTTGGCACAGACTGCAGTGAAAGAAGATAGTGGCATGGCGAGCAGAACCACCGCATGAACGAATGCTTTAAAGAGGGGACGAGTGTGCTCCCAAATGCCCTGGTACGGCCGAGAGTGGGGAGAGTCTACTCTCCCTCTCGAAATGCTCTCACATGGCCAGTGAATATATAGCCTCTGCCACACAAGTCCTACTCACTGCCTTCTCGTGGCGGGGGTGTTGTTTACGAAAGTGAGAGGACGAAAAGCGAATATCCGGCAGGTGCTTTAACCCGATTGGTGGACACGAAGGGTCCACCTAGGGGAGTTTGAAAACCCTGATTCCAAACCAATGGTGCACATGGGTTCCAGTATCCTGATGGAACGAATGGCGGAAGAACCTGTCATTGGTCACTGGCTACCATGGGACTGCATCTCCTCACGATGCTCCACTGCCTTTTGGGTTAGGTTTTTAGGTTAAAGGCTCCGTGTGTGGTCCCCTAAGAAAACCACCTGCTTCGGTTTGGGCACCCGGGCAGTATCACAGCCCACACACAAATGAATGAAATGATGAACTCTATTGACGATTCTATTCCTGCTCATATTATAAGCAAGACAATTTACATTATTATTATTATTATTACTTACAATATCGCTAATTCACCCCCTTTTATCCCCAATTTGTGTAACCTTACTATTCAACTTATGCAGCAGCTCGCTGTTGGTGGAAAATCTGTCCTATCTAAACGATCTCCAGTCACTGTCTGGTTGAAAGTGAATGCTTCCACCGATTATGAATACTGAGGCAGTCTTTCTGAAACCACGTACGCCGTTCAAGCTGGCTTCCTTCAACGTTCGCACACTAATGCAGATCAGACAACAGATAGAGCTGACTATGTCTTTGGAAGGTCTTAATGTTGATGTTTGTTGTCTATCCGAGACCCGTATTCAAGACTCTAGTGAAGTACTACAAATCCGCTCTCCATCTGTCGCCTCGAAAAGCTTGTTCCACGCTCTTTTTGGAGTACCTATCTGGAGTCTTATCATGCCCTGGTCTGCGCCAATCTCACCTTACTTTTTAGTGGCCGAAGGATTGACCACCACCAACGGATTGATATCAGTAAACTGGCTGCAACTTCTGTTGCAAGTAAGTATCGAGCGAAGCTAGCCTCTAGGCTAGCTACCATCCCACCGAAAAGTATAGATGAGCATTGGTTGCATCTTCACGACGCCATCAAAATGGCGATTAAAGCCGCTTGCGGCTTCGCGAAACGTCCCGCTTACAAGCACTGGGTTTCTTCTGGCTCCTTACAACTGATGGAAGCCCGTCGGTCTACTCCGGGTGACCGTGAGTTTGACCACAAACGAAGGCTGTTACGTAATAAAATCGGGCAAAGCTTGCGTAAGGACCGGGAAGCCTGGTGGTCGGAGCGTGCTAATGAGTTGGAAGCAGCAGCTGCATCTGGTAACTGCCGGAAGCTCTTCCAACTCATCCGAGCCACTGGCAGCAAGAAGTCTGGTGTGAGTGAAACAATCTACGAGGATGATGGGATGCCAATCACTAACATCTGTCGACGTCTTGGACGATGGGTGGAATTTTTCGAAGGGCAGTTCAACTGGCCTGCTGCTCCGGCAACATCAACCAGCTTGTCCTGCCCCCCATGGCCGGTGACGACTGATCCACCAAACGAGGCGGAAGTCCGCAAGGAACTCCAACTGTTGAAACGTTACAAATCACCTGGCCCAGATGATTTACCTCCGGCTCTTTTTAAAGATGGTGATGACTTTCTGACTAAGGAATTGACTGTGTTGTTTGGAAAGGTTTGGGAGCAAGAAAGTGTTCCAACATCATGGAATGAGTCAATAGTTGTCCCTATCTTTAAAAAGGGTTCACGTTGTTCCTGTAAAAACTATCGGGGGATAAGTCTACTTTCGATTGCGTCCAAACTATTGGTTTCTATCATTCTTCGTAGGTTGTTTAAAACCCGAGAACGATTGACTCGCGAGGAGCAGGCTGGTTTTCGTTCTGGTCGAGGATGCATTGATCACATCTTCACCCTCCGCCAAATGTTAGAACACCGTCATACTTATCGCAGGCCAACAATCGTAGTGTTTCTTGATATCAGGGCTGCCTTCGATTCGTTGGACAGGACTGTTCTCTGGGATTGTCTATTGAAGAAGGGTGTGCCTGAGAAGTTCATTAACATCTTAAAGGCCTTGTATACGAACACCTCAGGCAGAGTGAGGGCATACAACCACCTTTCTCCCTTGTTCCATTCGAGCAGTGGGGTTAGGCAGGGTTGCCCGATCTTACCATTCCTCTTCAACTTTGCCATCGATGATATCCTGGAAACAGCTCTGATGGATGTAAGTAATGGCGGTGTGGATATGTTGCCTGGAGAACGACTTCTCGACCTCGAGTATGCGGATGATATTGTCTTACTGTGCGATAATGCCCAAGGCATGCAATCCGCACTTAATCAGTTGGCAATCAGTGTCCGCAGGTACGCCATGTGCTTTGCACCCTCCAAGTGCAAAGTACTCCTACAAGACTTGCAGGATTCTCATCCTGTACTCACCCTGGATGGTGAGGAGATCGAAGTAGTTGAGAAGTTCGTGTATCTAGGTAGCTATATAAGTGCTGGTGGTGGCGTGAGTGATGAGATTGATGCACGTATAATGAAAGCCAGAGCGGCTTATGCCAATCTGGGCCATCTTTGGCGCCTTCGTGATGTTAGTCTGGCTGTAAAAGGTCGGATCTACAACGCGTCGGTGAGAGCAGTTTTGCTCTATGCTTGTCAAACCTGGCCTCTCCGAGTTGAGGATGTTAGACGTCTCTCTGTGTTCGATCATCGTTGTCTCCGAAGGATTGCTGACATACAGTGGCAACACCATGTTAGTAATGCAGAGGTTCGGCATCGTGTGTTTGGGCACAGAGACGATAATTCAATTGGTGTCACCATCTTGAAACACCGACTTCGGTGGCTTGGACATGTTTTACGAATGTCGTCTCAGAGAATTCCACGTCGTGCATTACTTGCCGACCCTGGGACTGGTTGGAAAAAGCGGAGAGGAGGTCAGTGTATGACATGGTATCGTGGCATGAAAGAGAGCTGCAAAGGGCTAGCTTCTGTTGGTCTTTCACGACTCCCTGGTTGGGGTCCGAGAGATGGTGCAACACAGTGGCTAGAGACGTTATCAGATATGGCTCAGAATAGAAGCCAGTGGCGATCCTGCTGCAACCTTCTTTTACTTTCTACATAAAGAGTGGTTCTAACTTTCTTAACTGAAAGAGTCTTCTGGTTGTACATTCCAGTCCGCCTTATCTCTTCATCCCTTCTCTTCCTACTTTCATTATTTTGTGTGGCGCATATGTACCTGGTGCCCTTTTGTACCAATATATATGTGTTTAAATAAATAATAAATATATCCATATATGTAGTATATGGTGTTGATCAGACATAGAATGTATTTTGGCAGAAGACCGATGAGGAAAGAACTGAAATGAAGCGCAATCGTTTGGAAAATGCATGAGCAATGGAATAAGAGAAGAAACAGTGAAGATTGAAACAATTGGTTGTTAATTTGCAAATTGACTGTTCATTGTTTGGTTATCAGAATTTACTGAGATAGTCTGTAATGTTTGCTCAAATACATTCGATTGTCCCCAACTAGCGTTCTGTACACTACACCGGTGATGGAAAGAAAAATCTAAATTCTGCTGAAAAACGTATATTATGAAAAATAGTTTACTGAGATAATTCAACTTCATTGGAGTAAAGCAGAAAAACATCATATACATACATTAGAAGAACAAGGTAACAAGCTGTAAAACTTGACAATCATCGAGTTTTTTTTGTTGTTGAAAGATTACAGAGACGGTTTGCTTCATTTGAATATGTTTAGCGGTAAAGAAAACATTTATTGATTTTGTTTTTTTCTTTCATGATGTATCCACTATTACTTCTCGAAGAATTAAACTGATTAATTCACGTTGTTCTAAATTTACATATGATTGAAGCATGACAGAAAGTGATTCTAATTCTATAATATCTTTTGATCGATGCGCCAACTGACAAAGAGAACAAAATAAAAACAATGAGAAAATTGAAATCTATTATGTATTATTTTACGATTATTATAAACTCATTATCATGTACAGATTCGTTAACTTGGCTTTGAGTCTCACTTATTTATTTAAACACATAAATATTGGTACAAGGGGGTACAAGATATAAATGTGCCACACAAATCTCATCTGATTTGTGTGAGGGCTGTGATACTGCCCGGGTACCCAGACCGAAGCAGGTGGTTTTCTTACGGGGGCCACACCCCGAGCCTTTAACCTACAAACCTAACCCAAAAGGCAGTGGAGCAACGTAAGGAGATGCAGTCCCATAGTAGCCAGTGACCAACGATTGATTCATGCGCCATTTGTTCACTCAGGATACTGGAGCCAGCCCATGTGCACCATTGGTTTGGAATCAGGGTTTTCAAACTCCCCTAGGTGGACCCTTCGTGTCCACCAATCGGGTTAAAGCACCTGCCGGATATTCGCTTTTCGTCCTCTCACTTTCGTAAACAACACCCCTGCCATGAGAAGGCAGTGAGTAGGACTTCCCAGGCAGAGGCTATATACGCGTGACTATGTGAGAGCATTTGGAGAGGAAGAGTGGACTCTCCCCACTCTTGGCTGTACCAGGGTATTTGGGGTCCGTAACATTTTATCCATTGTCTAAGGTAGATAACTGTCTCCACCTGATACGAATTGTTCTCTACTGATCACAGCTTCTCACTATGAAAATAATACAATCTTTACAAAACCGCATACTAAAAATTGTCAATAATTACTTAGAAACTAAAACATTCATTTAATTTACTTACCACAAATGACTGTAACAAGATAAATAAATTATGATCCAAGTAAATCGAATTTAATGTAGATGATTTTAATAAATCTTCTGTTTTTTCATCATTCACTTTGATATCATATTGTTTTAAAGAATAATCAGTTAAATCAGGATTATGTAATCTATATGAAGGCTATAAATGATGATAATGACAACAATTATGAATAAAGGGAACATACCATACATAGAAGAATAAGTAATACACGAAATATTTCAGATATACTCCAATATTGTATATAAAGATCAAATGAATTCAATGCTAAATATTATATATAGATAATGGATTGAATAGAATATTGATGAACATACTAAATTCTTCTTTGGCTAAATTTTGTATTAATATAAAAGTAGTTAATGCACCAGGCCAATCATCTATTCATTCAATAAAAATATATATAGTTTCCACAGCAACAACAACTTACGTATATATAATTGACAATAACTTAAACGTTTATATAATTCTAAACTTAATAGAACATCTTTTGATACAATTTCTATAGAACGTTTTAAATATGGTATAGCTTGATGAAATTTAGATCGCCTCTATGAAAAGGAAGAAAAAACAGAAGAAAAGGATTGAGTCATGATTTGAACTATATAAAATGACTAAAATCTCTACAAAACCCCCTTCTGATAATGATCATATAGTCACTAATGACTGGCTCCAAGAGGTATTTCCTGAAGTTCTAATGAGAAGCACTAACCAGTGAAGTTCAACCAGGTCTGTTGGGAGATATCAACTCACTGAAGACATTGATGAATGGTTGCTCAAATTCGTGGATTGGTTGAAGTTAGACATTAACATCGTTGTATCCCGGCCGGTTCAGTGGTCTAGAGGTTAAGTGCTTGCGCGCGAGACTGGTAGGTCCTGGGTTGGAGTCTCGCGATGCGGGATCGTGGATGCACACTACCATTGGGGAGTCCCAAAATAGGACGAAACGGTCGTCCAGTGCTTCCAGGTTTTCCATGGTGATCTAGTTTCAACTGACTCATGATCTCAACTATACATAATAATAATAATAATTCAACCAAGAAAAGTTTCTATACAGTAAGCTATATAGTCGTCTTTGTAGGTATTTGGTGAGACTATAATTGATGGACGAAGCAATGAAGTTTAAGATAGTAGATCTTAAATATTGGCACAAAATCTATCCACCAATTTGGTTAAATATAATTTCAGCATTATAACTTATGTCAGTTCGTGAAAACATTAAATCTAATTCCTAACCCTAACATTCAACTGTAAATCCTAATCCTTATTCATCACAATATTATTTAACTCTCATATAACCCTGGTAAGTAATGGGTGGGAATTTGAAAGTCGTTTTAGCATCGCTTAAAGGTCGTTCATAAATTATAATCTTAACAGTTATTTGATAAATTATAGGTGAGTCTATAAGAAGAGCAGAAATATGAAATAATCAGTAGCTCAATACAAGAGCACTTATCAACTTTGACCATGTCAATTCTAATGAATCATCCTTCAAAATAATCCACATAGTAAAAAGTATAGAACTAAAAGATCTAGTCAAAGACATTATGCACTGTTGAGGTGTTAACAATTAAAATCATCATTTCTAGCTTGAACTAAGCATGCAAAAAAGCTAATACGTGTAATTACCTATCCTTTCATAATCCCCTAATATCCTTTTTTTCTCTCAGTATGTTTTGAATTGATTATTTCTAATACTACTTAGTACTTTCATCATATCTGAATTCCTCATGTCCCTATCCTTTTTCTCTTTCCAAATTTATTTCACTTTATTATACTCCTTCAATAACATCTTCAAACACTAATCTTTATTATAATGCTTATACTCTTACTACTTCTATCACTATGTGATTTTAATAGACAACAGTATCTCTGTACTAATGTGGTATGGCAGCTCGAAATGATGTACGTACGTACGAAGTTCTACGCTGTGACTGACTGATACTTCTGTTTTTTTTCTTCTTAAACTTAAGGCAGAGGTTAGAAGAAAAAAATATTAATCAGTGGACTAATAAGAGTTAAGTTTATGTTAACTCAAATTTATTCGTGTCAGCTGGTACGTATCACTAGGAAAGGCTAGGGATGTTAAGTTACAGACGAAATAGCATATGCAAGTTAGAAAAATTATAAATGGAATTTCGATTGAATTACTTAGAAAGTGATAGCGATTAGTGTTTTAGACAAAACAAATAGTTCGTAGATTTTATATCACGAACAAGTCTTAGCTAGACTACCAATAGAGTGGAAACAATGGACGCCCGTACCGTCCTTGTGATTGACTGACTGATGATTATTTCTTATATACCTGATTCGTATAAATCATTCTCATTCCTTTTACATTTTTTTTTCTAAACTCTCGACAATTACGCAACCTTCCTTAAATATTCGAAACCTCAGATTACTCTATGATGTAATTATTCTATTTATTTATCATTAGACTGACATATTTTCCAAACTATAAAAACAAATGTACATATAAATAAATAATATATTTGTAATATCCCAATGAGTAGAAAAATTAGATTTTCTGACGTTTCGTGACTCAGTGTAAGCCACTTCTTCAGAGAATAAATAAATATTCTCTGAAGAAGTGGCTTACACTGAGTCACGAAACGTCAGAAAATCTAATTTTTCTACTCATTGGGATATTACAAATATATTATTTATTTATAACAATCTACCCAATGCTCAATTTATTCAAAATTATCAAATCAAGACTTGGTAATGATACCTACAAAATGTACATATAGTTTAAGTAAATGATTTCATCGAAAAGAAAATTTCCCTTGCCGAACTTGTTCTATTTTTATTGATTCATAATTAATGGCTTGAAATCTGACTCCAGTTAGATCGGACGAATGTTCGTTACTGAATGATTGTTGTCGAAGTGTACATGTCGCCAATCCTCGCATATAATTATTGACTTAACTCGTGTTGCTGAACATTGGAATTAAATAAGTCAAATACGGCAATGAGGTTTAAATAGGTATATATCCTACACTGAAACGGATCAGAAAAACCATGTGAGGCAACTCAATGTAACCAAGAGTGAATCGATATTTATAGTCAGACAAAAATAAATTACAAACGCATAATGAGTACGGTAAGTAATTAGCGCACATACAATAATATAAAAAAGGTCGGGATTAATAAGCGAATAAGTGACAGGGTAAAAATGTAGCTTGAGAGGAACGAATGGACTGATCAGTCCAGAAAATAGAATAGTCTATGTGGGTTTGAAATAGGGCAAGCCACTACAGTTACAATGGGTTATTTGATTTATTTCAAGTGTTTCTTTCTCAACGAATTAGTTGAAAAGAAAAAAAACGGAAAAAAAAGAATTACCATTAACGTATCCACCAGATAAATGTAGACATTTGTTGCTAATGTGAAAAGTTCATTCAATTCATAGATCTATTGTATGTACATATATATATATTGAATGTAATGAATTAGTTTACTCTTGCTGTTCTTAACAAACAAAGAATCGCGCAATTTAAATTATCCTCATAATTAATAGAATTAGTTGAAATTAATTTATCATCAGCTTGTATAAAATATTTTCCAGCTGTAAATAATGTTGACGCTTCAGAAGTTACATTTTTAGCAGCAAATTCACATCTAAAAAAAAGCAGAATTCACGATCGAATACAAAATAATAGGGGTTCTTCGGAATCCATAACTAACATCATAGAATAATCTTAGCAAAACTATCATTTCTAGTATTTCTTTTTCGTAACGTACTCTTCAGTAGTGTGTATCCTCGATCCCGCCACTAGAGATCGAGTATAGGGAGACCGTTGGGTGGTATTATGAATTACTTGAAGTTAAACATCTGTAACATTGGACGCCGCCTTGAAGGTCTAGTGGCTTAGTATTCGTATGAGAAACCGAGGTTCCTGTGTTCGATTTCTGTTGTCGGGGTCTTGAGTGCTCACTGACGAGAAGTCATGTACGTAACTGTTCAGTATCTCCTAGTTTTCAGTGGTTATTTAATCAAGATTATTCTGTTATGTCAACTATTAATTTCATTTCGTAGTTCATAGGCTTTTTTGTTAGACCCAGACTTTGATTTTATGTGTATAGGTACACCTATATTGATCTTCTTATTGCAATCATATAACACTCGTGTTAGTCCTATTTATTTGAAGCAAGGCCGTAATACCATCTTGTTAGACGAACCAAATAATCTTTGATTGTCATTAAATTTATAGTTACAGTTCGAATATGAGTTAGCCTATAAATGACAGTTCAAACAGCACAATCAATATAGTTGAGCTTAATTTTTCGCAAATTAAAAAATGAAACTATGTAATAATTATTGGGGTTATGTAAGTTACAAGAGTATGTGTCATATTATCGTCCGAGTTGTTTGGAGACAGTAAGTAACTGTAGGATAGCTGTGAGCGAGTTGTACTGACCCTAGTGTTCTAATCTCCTCGACTGAGTTGATCATAGATCTGTCTCTGAAATATTCTCAGAAACACGTATTTTTATGTTTGTTTGCGTCATGGCCCCCAAATACCCTGGTACAGTCGAGGATGGGGAAAGCTCGCTTTCACTCTCAAAATGCTATCAAATGGCCACGCAGATACAGCCACTGTCAGGGAAGTCCTACTCACTACCTTCTCTCTCAACGAGGGTGTTGTTTAAGAAATTGAGAAGACGAAAAGCGAATGTCTTGCAGGGGCTTACACTGGGTTAGTGGATCCATCTAGGGGAGTTGGAAAACTCTGATTCCCCCGACCGTTTCTGCTACCTTGACGTGGTGATCGGGCTTGCCTATCGTGATGATCCAATCGAGCGATACTGGCTGGAACAATCGTTCCTCAAGATCTTACCATGCCAGGCAGGTCGGTTGAAGAGCGGTAAGACTAAAAGCAGCAAACACAAGGTCCGAAGGCGAAGTCGTACTGCTGACTGTACAGAGGTGTGAAAGCAGTAAGGTGTTTCCTTCAGACAACCAGCATGACAGCGATGCTGCCTTCCCACAAGGAGGGGTGGGGTTAGAAAAGGTCGACCCTAAAAATGCACACCTCGTCTTATCCCACGGATTTCCGTCTCCGTCGGTAAGGACTTTTGAAGAATGGAGCTAACACGTCAAAAATCCCCCACAAAAAGGCCGTGCGTAACCGGCCTCAAGCAGTTGTCCCTTGGACACTGCGGTCACACTCCCAGGTCGTTATGACCAACACTAATCCAACTTCCTTTTCAGGTCCCTCAATAAATATCCTTCCACGGTGTGAGCAGCCGGGAAGTGATGTTAGCCCTCATACCCGTAACTGCACACGAAACCAAGTTGGTCGCTTTCAAATCCTTCCTACACCTAATAACTCTGTTATCTCCACGACTAACCCTTCCCACGTCCTTTTATCACCTCGCACCGCTAGGGCAAACGATTCGAGTACACAGAACGTTATTCCTGGTCTCCTGAAACCACGCTCTAAACTACATGTAGGAACTTTCAATGTCCGAACATTGTGCCAAATATGACAACAGGCTTCCTTAGTTAGGACTCTAGAATCTTACACCATCGATGTGTGTTGCGTCTGCGAAACGCGCATACAAGATCCGAGTAGTGTCATTCATTTGACCGCACCTAATCAAAATAAAGTTTCATCTCGATACACGCTTCGTGTATCTGGAAGCCCTGATGCTGCTTCCCGTGGCCTCGCTGGAGTAGGTATAGCATTAAGTCCTAGGGCAGAACTAGCTCTTTTAGACTGGATCCCAGTAGACAGTCGTCTATGCGCTGTCCGACTAAACGGATCAGTAAGGACCCGGAGAGATAGGGAAACTCTTCGTTGCCTCTTCGTCGTCTCTGCTTACTCTTACACTGACTGCAGCTCAGACGATATAAAAGATGAGTTCTACAGGAAACTTTCTGACCTTCTCCGAGAAGCTAGGCGTTCTGATGTAGTAATAGTAGCAGGTGACTTTAATGCTCAAGTAGGTAAACTAAGTGAAAGGGAAAGACACCTGGGTGGATCTTATGGTGTCATGGCGAAAAGAACAGATAATGGCGACCGTCTGTTGCAGCTATGCTCAGATAACCGCCTATTTCTTGCAAATACTAACTTTAAGCATAAGGAAAAACATCTTTTGACATGGCGACCCCAGAATTCGTCCCAACGTTGGACCCAATTAGATCACATCGCTATCAGCCACCGATGGAGGGGCTCGATAGAAGACTGTCGCTCATTCTGGGGCACATGTTTAGATTCAGATCATGCTCTAGTGCGAGCACGTATCTGTCCGCGTCTTACTGGTCGTAGGAAAGACACTGCAGGGAAGCCTCTAAGGGTTCTACTTCATGATAGGCAAGCTAAGAATATATTTCAGGAACAACTAGAAAAACAGTTAGGCAGCCATGTAAGTTGTGTCCACCCCGAGGCAGCGTGGAAAGACACCCGAAAAGCTGTGGAAACAGCAGTGATATCCGCTAATAAGGTAAACCATAACGTTAGGGAGAAACAATGGATCTCGGCAGCATCTACCGCACTGATAGATGCTCGTAAACTCATCCCACCTGGCTCTGAGCATAACGAAGAGCGGAGTCAACTTAAGCGCAGGCTTATAAGAAGTCTACGTAATGATCGTGAACAGTGGTAGGTAGCGAAAGCAAGAGAGATGGAAAAGGCAGCGGCAATAGGTAACAGTAGGCAGCTATTCAGACTCGTTAAAGAAACCGGTATTAGGAACCCGAATATCAGTGAAACCATCTCAGATAAAGATGGGCATATTATTCATTCTCAATCCAGGAGGTTAGATCGATGGGCAGAACACTTTAGGGATCAGTTCAACTGGCCTTCAGCCACACTTCAATTACCCACGATCCCCAGTCTTCCTGAATGGCAAATTGAGGTAAGTCCTCCAACCCTCTGTGAGGTTGAAAAAGCTATAGGAAATCTGAAGCGAGGGAGAGCAGCAGGCCCTGACAGGTTGATACCTGAGATTTTTAAGGATGGTGGTCCAGTACTAGCAACAAGATTGACCGAGGTCTTAGGTAGAATCTGAGAACTGGACGTAATTCCATTTGACTGGTCCAAATCACTGATTGTGCCAGTCTATAAGAAAGGACAAAAGTCCTCCTGTGACAATCACAGAGGGATCAGTTTGACTAATATAGTGTCTAAAATATTAGCTTCAATAATACTAGGTCGCCTAACCAAAGCTCGTGAAGAGCAGACTAGAGAAAACCAGGCTGGTTTTCGACCTGGACGTAGTTGCATAGACCAGATATTCACCCTATGTCAGGTTCTAGAACATAGACACAAATTCAGACGTCCCACAGTATTAGTATTTCTTGACCTTAAGGCGGCATTTGACTCCGTTGATCGTGAGGTTCTATGGCAATGTTTGTCACTGAAAGGAGTACCAAAGAAGTACATTAACCTCATAAAGGCTCTCTGCTCGAACACAACTGGTCGAGTTAAAGCCTATGGCGAACTGTCATCAGAACTGATTACCACAAGTGGCGTTCGTCAGGGCTGTCCACTCTCCCCATTCTTGTTTAACTTTGTCATTGACATACTTTTAGAAATAGCACTTTCATCAGCTAAACCTCCAGGAGTTGAACTTTTACCGGGAGATTCATTTGTTGACTTAGAATACGCCGACGACATAGTTTTACTCGGTGAAGACGCTGACAACATGCAGAGTCTTCTGAGCACTATAAGCAACTATGCAGCCATGTTCGGGATGCGATTCTCTCCCTCGAAGTGCAAAATGTTACTTCAGGATTGGGTTGCATCGACACCTGAACTAATGATAGGGAGTGAAGTAGTTGAGTGTGTAGACCACTTCACTTATCTTGGGAGTCTCATCAGCCCTTGTGGTCTGGTATGTGACGAAATCTCAGCACGGATACAGAAGGCTCGTCTAGCTTTCGCCAACTTGCGTCATTTATGGCGTAGGCGAGATATCCGTCTAGCAACCAAAGGACGGGTTTACTGTGCAGCAGTTCGCTCCGTCCTACTCTATGGCAGTGAAACATGGCCAGTAAGAGTAGAGGATATTCGTAGGCTACTAGTGTTCGATCATAGGTGTCTTCGAAGCATTGCTCGTATATCCTGGGACAACCGGGTAAGTAATGCAGTTGTTAGGAAACGAGTACTAGGTAGGGATGGCAAATCGATTGATGAAGTAGTGAAACTTCATCAGTTGAGGTGGCTGGGACATGTGTTACGTATGCCCGACCACCGACTGCCCCGACGTGCAATGTTTCATGGTGTAGGAGTAGGTTGGAAGAAAGCTAGGGGTGGCCAGACCAAAACGTGGCACAAATTCTAATCTTCTGAATTCCTCATGTCTTTATCTTTTTCTCTTTCCAAATTTATTTCACTGTACTATACTCCTTCAATAATTTCTTCAAACCCTAATCTTTTGGATTTCTGATTATACACCTACTACTTCTGCCACTATGGGATTTGAATCGACAACTGCATCTCTGTGCTAATGTGGTATGGCAACTCGAACTGATGTACGTACGTACGAAGTTCTACGTTGTGACTGACTGAAACTCTGACTCCAAACCAATAGTTCACATGGGCTTTGGCATCCTGAGGTAACAAATCGCATATAAACCTTTTCTGGCTCACAGGCTACCATGGGACTGCATCTCCTAACGTTTCTCAACTGCTTTGTGGAATAGAATTTTAGCATGAGTAAAACGTGGCCTAACCATCTGAGTCGATGAAGATTTAAAACCTCGTCATCTGTTATACCATCATCATTCCCTAGTACCTTGCTTCCAAACTCACTATCACTTACCTGATGATCCCAGCAGATGCGAGCAATATTTTCAAGATATCTGCGATCGAATACTATTAACTTATGAGTATCTCCTACTCTTAATGGCCACGTTTCACAGCCGCAAAGTAGGACAGAACGAAATACCGTGCAGTATACTCGTCGTTTAATTGATGGACTGATATCTCGCTTTCCATATAGATGACGTAAGTTAGCGAAAGCCGAATGAGTTTTCTGAATCCATTTAGAAATTTCGTCAGACACCAACCCACCAGGGATGATAAGACTTCCAAGATAAGTGAAGTTGTAGACGCATTCGATTACTTCACTCAATATCCTTAGTTCAGGTGTTCATGTAGGCCAGTTTTGAAGCAACAACTTGCATTTTGAGGGAGAAGAAACGAATTCCTAAACATCTTGGCATTGTTGTTCAATGCTATCAAAAGACTGCATTTTATTGGCGTCTTCATCAAACAGGACTATGTCATCTGCATATTCAGAGTCGATAGGTGGACCTCCTGATAAATCAATTCTAGTAGGTCTATGATGAAATTTAACGAAAACAGGGTTAGTGTGAAGCCTTGCCAGAAACCTTTGAAGTTATGAAATCAGATGACAGTTCGCCACAAGCTCTGACTCGACTGTTAGTGTTCTGAAGTCCCACTTCAACGACGAACACTGTCACCCAATCTCTCGATCAACATAGTGGAATGTTTCTTTCAAGTCAAGAAGTTGTCGTCTGATCCTCGACTGACTAAACTAATCCTACCTGCGTAGTCAAATAGAAGGACCGGAGGCGACATGATCGGATTTTTTCTTTACAAAAAAACTCATTAGCGACAAATTCGCATCTGATATATCCTAATTTTTCTTGTCGTCCGAAAACGGAGATTTATGAGAACACTCTAGTAAAGTTCACAAATTCTTTGTCAGCTGACTATTGACATTCTTTATAATCTAACGCACGTAAAACTTCTTTTCCTGAGTAGAGAACTTGTCAACCAGGTGAAAAACCCGACGGCCAAACTCAAATGTTTCATGCGACCTGAGAAAGTATTAGGGATTATAGTCGAACTTTATTATCTGAAGGTAAATAATTTATCAGACATTCGATAGATGGACTAAGCAAATATAAGTATGTACCAGTCGAGTAACTGTTTCTGAAATATAAAAACAATGAACCTACCTTGCTTTGCCGAGTAAAAAAACTGCCGCTAATTCATGACATTCTTGGACAGCCAAACTTTTCGCTACACAAGCTGGTTGAACGAAGAAATTAACGGTAAGGTATATTTTTGTTACCGAAGTCATTAGCCTGTTGGTCACACCTATTTATCTCGTTTAATTTCCTTGAACGAAATTTTATTGCATTATAAACAAACAGTACTTCTTAACTTCAATACTAAGAGCTTTGTAGATTTGGGGATAATTCAGCGACGGATCCATAACAAGCGCTGCCAATTTCGTCAATGTCCAATATCTGTACAAAATCAGTAAGATAACTTAAGAAGCAATATTATAACATGGTGTCAAATAAATGTGCATAGCGTATAAGCTTCTTCTCTTCACCGACATTAAATGAACTATGGATGTCCTCAGATATGGACTAATACATTTCGAAAGGGTCATATGTGACTGATCCGACAAACAGCCTTATGGTTCTCTTCTATGTTACACATGATTAAAGAATTAATCAGGCTCTGTGTAAACCCATCGGATATACTCAAAGAGCCTCTAGTTATATAATGGTAAGATACTTGGCGATTTTTTCAATTCTTACAAAGTACTGTCTGTTCTTCTGTTTCTGGCGCATTGATTTTCCGTATGTTTTCTTTGTATGTAATGACTCTACGATGTATCATTATTCATATCAGATACTTATTTTCACTGTGTTTGCTGCTTCGGGAGACTTGAACTGAGCTTTCATCGTTAGCTGTAGTTTGATCACAGTAATGACTTTGAATCATATGTTGTGTGAGTTTCAGGTCGCCTTTTCAATTTGCGGTATTGTCGGTTCCTCTTGTTTCGATAATGCAATGAGAAAACGGAATTTATCAGAATTATGTGATATATTAGCGCAATACATTTCGAACAATCTGATCACACATACACTTGTTAAGACATTTTTATACGAAAATTAAAAGGTCAACCAGAAAAACTAAAGTAAGAAAATAAATGAAGTACATAAAAGCAATGTGGTGATCACTCTGGATAATAAATCAGCATTACCAGGGTAGGTTAAGAGTTAGAACAAATTGTTTTTGAACACATAAAAAAGGTTTCAATTTCCGTATAGCCAAGGCTTCAATAAACCTTAGTATACGTCCTTAAAGGCTTTTGTACAACACTACAAACGCTGATTCGATGTCAACCTTATGACCAGTTTCAACCAGATGTCTCGCAGTGGAGGAAGATGTTTGTCTATCCTGTGATCTTATTTGACCATTGGCATTCATTTGGTTCTGCAGCCATTTAGGTATGTGTTCCGCCACCCTTATTTGCAGATCACGATTGCTCCTCCCTATGTACGTGTTTCCGCACATACATGTAAATTGATATACACAACGGGATGTGATACAATCCCTTATGTGCTGTTTCGGTTTTTGGTGAAACATTAACCGTGTCTTTTCAATTATGACAAGTTGAGCTGCATAAAATGTCCTGTTTGTGGCTAATTTCAGTCTCCGTCTCAACATGAACTCCGCCTGTAGCTCTCCTAGGGTTACTGTCGGTCCAAAGCCCGGGTAAAGGAGGAGGGTTGGGCATGGGGTTAACGACCCCATCCCGTAGAAAAGCTAACTCGCTAAAAAAACGCTAACCAGAAAAAATAATTCAAACAACTTAAACTCTGCCCTGGGAGTTGAAGGAATAGTCATGACGTTTCATGATGAAAGCCGAGATTCTTCGGAAGTCACGAGACCGATTCCCATTCTAACAATCATAGCAACACTCTTTATAGGTACATGGAACGTCCGGACAATGTGGGAGACAGAAAAGACAGTCAAATAGCAATGGAAATGAGAAGATACAACTTGGCAGTACTCGAAATCAGCGAAACCCATTGGACACAAGCTGGACAACAAAGACTAGGTACAGGAGAGATGCTGCTGTATTCCGGTCACGAAGGGGAAAACGCTCCACACACTCAGGGAGTTGCTCTAATGCTGTCCAAAGAAGCAAGAAATGCAATTGTCGGATGGGAATCTCATGGACCCAGGATAATCAAAGCATCATTCCGAACAAACTTTGAACAACACGGGATATGAAGGTGTAATTGAACGACATGGATTAGAAGAGAGAAATGAAAATGAGGAGAGACTTGCAGACCTATGTGCATTCAACAAATTGGCTATAGGCGGCACAGTATTCCCACACAAGCGCATTCACAAAGCTACATGGATCTCACCGGACCAAACCACAGAGAACCGGATTGATCACATCTGTATCAACAAAAAATTCCGAAGATCAATGGAAGATGTGAGAACCCGGAGAGGAGCTGACATAGCCTCAGATCACTACCTGGTTGTGGCCAAGATGAGACTGAAGCTAAAGAAACACTGGACAACTGGACAAACAGGATTACAAAGGTTCAATACAGCCTTCCTTCGAGATACTGACAAACTCAACCAATTCCAGATAACTCTCAACAACAGGTTAAAAGCTCTATAGGATCTACTGAATGAACAAGAAACTACTTTGGAGGACAACTGGAAAGGGATAAAAGAAGCACTAACTTCAACGTGTCAGGAGGTTCTTGGTCCTAAGAAGCACCATCACAAGGAATGGATCTCTATGGGAACCCTGGACAAAATTCAAGAAAGGAAGAACAAGAGACTAGCAATTAACAACAGCCGAACACGAGCAGAGAAAGTCAAAGCACAAGCAGACTACGCAGAAGCAAACAGGGAAGTGAAGAAAAGCATTAAAGCCGACAAGCAGAAATACATGGGAGAACTAGCAACGGCGGCGGAAAAAGCTGCAAGAGAAGGGAATATGAAACAACTATATGATACAACGAAGAAATTGGCAGGGAGATATAGCAAACCAGAGAGACCAGTCAAAGACAAAGAAGCAAAGACAATCACTGAGATTCATACACACGACCAAATGCAGATGAAGATAGCAAATGTAGCAGCAGCTTACGCATCGATAGGCCTCCACATTCACAAAGAAAGAAGCAAGATTCTCAAATGCAACACGTAGAACAACAACCCAATCACACTTGACGGCGAAACTCTGGAAGAGGTGGAAACATTCAAGTATCTGGGGAGTATCGTTGATAAACAAGGAGGATCGGATGCAGATGTAAAGGCGAGGATTGGCAAAGCAAGGGCAGCATTTCTACAATTGAAGAACATATGGAACTCAAAACAACTTTCAACTAATTTCAAGGTCAGAATCTTCAATACGAACGTCAAGACAGTCCTACTGTATGGAGCTGAAACGTGGAGAACTACTACGACCATCACCAGGAAGGTACAAGTATTTATAAACAGTTGTCTACGCAAAATACTCAACATCCACTGGCCGGATACTATCAGCAACAGCGTTTTATGGGAGAGGATAAACCAGCTTCCAGCTGAAGAGGAAATTAGGAAAAGACGTTGGAAGTGGATCGGACATACATTAAGGAAATCACTAATGTGCATTACAACGCAATCCCTAACTTGGAATCCGGAAGGGAAGCGGAAAAGAGGAAGGCCAAGGAACACACTACGCCGGGAAATAGAAGCCGATATGAAAAGGCTGAATAGCAACTGGAAAGAACTGGAAAGGATTGCTCAGGACAGAGTTGGATGGAGAATGCTGGTAATCAGCTTATGCTATTCGACGAGGGGTAACAGGCGTAAGTAAGTAAGTCTCAACATGAGACTATTTTAGTCACTCCTAAATGGTAATGTAATATAAACTCGCTTTTTGAGTGCCAGAAGCGTCATAGGTCTAATAGTAATGCAAACCTTACAGCGGTTTATAAACTTAAATGAATAAACATTATTCATTTACGTATCAGTTGAAAGCTTCGTTTCTATTTCAGTAGTATATCTATTACAAATACGATTGATTCTATTGAATAAGCCCTTTATTAAACCACGTTTGTAATGAATTGGGCAGTGACTATGGAAATTAAGATATTGCTCCTCAATGTCGGCTTTCTATATATAAAACGTTGGATGGAACCATCTTCTCTCCTACTGATCAGTATATCTATAAAAGAAAGATGGTTGTTCTTTTCTTCTTCGCACGTAAAGGAAATATGCTTCTGACTTGTATTGAGTACTATTAACAAGCGGTTAACGCCTTCACATTTAGCCTTTATAATTATGATGTCATCAACATATCGGTTCTTCTTGTACTAAAAATATTGTGCGCTATTTAGCGCCGGTCAGACAATCAGGATAAAGGTTTTCGTGACAATTAATATTAGTGTACAAGCTTTTGACTCAGAGCTACGATTTCTAATGAAGTGTAATATCATAAATAGTGGAAATGTTGACATCTCAACTTCTGTTGCGGTTTCTAGCACATCAGTAGCATCTGGTAACATTGAAATTTAGGAGAACGTTTGATCTGACGAAGCTTTTATGTTTCAACGAAAATCATCGACAGGATAACTAACCGTGTGGAATTACTGTCTAGTTCAGTATAAGTACATTTATCATTATTACTATGATCAGAGAATTGATCTTGAATATGTAGATTTTCCTTTATGTGACAGCTTAATCTGCAGGATCTAACAAGGACGTCACATCATTGTTGTTATAACTTATGGACGAATTGATGCCTAGTTGATGTATGACATGATAAGACCGCTAATCAGAGAGCAGCAAGATTTAGCTAACTGCGGTTATGAATGTGGGAGGTACCAATTAATAGTCTAGGAATAACTCATGAATGGTAAATCATATAACAATAGTCTATCGATCAAAATAAAGCTTATAGTAAGAGGACATGAATATGAGTAGTTCAGTTATTCAGCAACTATACGATAAAACATATACCCATAGTATTGGTTCATAAATGTTCCCCAAAGTTAACATTTATTATCCTTATCGGGGCAAAACAATTGTCTATACTGACTTGTCCTATCGTGAAATCAGCAGTATAACGTCTAGTACTTCTGAAGAACATTTTCAGCTGTGGATAGAATAATATACTTGATGTGGATAAGGATAAGCTACACGAAATGACCAAGTTCGCAGTACCTAGTCATGCCAAATCGATCCTATGTTTCAACGATTGATTAAAAGATTCAACAATACAACTCCACGATTTTGGTCAAATCGTATGACTTGAGATGTATAGCGTATTAAAGTATTCGCTTCCAGCAACATAAATGACCTAGTAACGAATACTGGACGGAGCCCCATCAGGAATAAGTCTGCCCAAATTACATTAAAAACCAATGAAATCCTCAAACCATGACATTGGTTTTATTATCTATTAAATTCAGTGATGACTTTGGTAGTGAAAGAAGAAACAAATGAGGACAATCGAATGTTTTGAACGCAAAGTTACGGAACATTTTAGTGAAATCTGAGAACCATACAGTAAGTACTTAATTTGCAAAATGTCAATCTATTGTTTCACACCTGGCCTTCCGCTTTGCAAATGTCTATTACTCGTCACAGACTTCTTTTTACTTACGCCTGTTACTCCCGAAGGACCATGGGCCGCCAACCAGCATTCTACAACCCACTCTGTCCTGGGCCTTCTTTTCTAGTTCTATCCAGTTCTTGTTCATTCTTCTCATGTCTGTCTCTATTTCTCGGCGTAATGTGTTCTTTGGTCTTCCTCTTCTCCTTTGACCATCAGGATTCCATGTGAGGGCTTGTCTTGTGACGCGATCGGGTGATTTCCTCAAAGTGTGCCCAATCCACTTCCAGCGCTTCCTCCTGATTTCTTCCTCCGCTGGAATCTGATTTGTTCTCTCCCACAGTAACTTGTTGCTGGTAGTGTCTGGCCAACGGATCCGAAGTATCTTGCGTAGACAACTGTTAATAAACACTTGTATCTTCTGGATAATGGCTTTCGTAGTTCTCCACGTCTCCGCCCCATACAATAGAACTGTCTTGACATTTGTATTGAAATTTCTAACCTTGGTGTTGGTTGACAATTGTTTTGAGCTCCAAATGTTTTTCAGTTGTAGGTATGCTGCTCTTGCTTTGACGATCCTCGCCCTCACCTCTGCATCTGATCCACCATGTTCATCAATGATGCTGCCCAGATATGTAAAGGTTTCCACATCCTCCAAAGCTTATCCGTCATTTGTAATTTGATTAGTGCATGTCGTGTTGACTATCTTCTCAGGCACGCCGTAGTGTCGAAAAAGCCTCCATAGTGTCGTCCTGTCCACGCTATCAAATGCCGTCTCGTAGTCAATGAAGTTGATGTACAGTGATGAATTCCATTCGATTGGTTGTTCCACAATTATACGTTAAGTTGCGATTTGATCTTTTCACGATCTATCCTTACGAAATCCACCCTGTTGATCTCGAAGTTGGGCGTCCACGGAATCCTCCATCCTCTTTAACAACATTTGCTTTCAGTGCCTCTGCCGGGATGTTGTCTGGTCCCGCTGCTTTGCCGCTCTTGATTTGTCCAATGGCCATGCTGATCTCCTCAATTGTTGGTGGGCCAACATCGATTGGAAGGTCTGTGGGTGCTGCTTCGATGTTGGGTGGGTTCAGTGGAGCTGGTCGATTCAAGAGTTCTTTGGAGTGTTTCATTTTTCTTCAATGTCGGTGGTTACTTTACACTCCCTGCTTTTCACTGGTCTTTCTAGCTTACGGTAATTTCCAGCAAGTTTCTTTGTTATATCATACAGTTGTCTCATGTTTCCCTCTCTTGCAACCTTTTCCGCTGTCATCACTAAATCTTCCACATATTTACGTTTGTCGGTTCTGATGCTCCTCTTCACTTGCTTGTTTGCCTCTGTGTATTCGGCTTGTGCCTTGGCTTTTTCTACTCTTGTTCGGCTGATATTGATTGCTGCTTTCTTGTTCCTTCTTTCTTCAATTTTATCCAGTGTACCAACAGTGATCCATTCCTTGTGATGGTGCTTCTTTTGGCCCAGAACTTCCTGACATGTTGAAACGATTGCCTCCTTGATACTTTTCCAGTTGCTCTCCATGGTAGTTCCCTCTCCATTGAGTAGATCATGAAAGGCCTCGAACCTGTTGCTGAGGGCTATCTTGAATTTGTTGAGTTTGTTAGCATCTCGAAGAAAGGCCGTATTAAACTTGGTTGGGCACTTCTCGAAAATCGACTGCAGCCTATCGTAGAATTGGTCTTTAGCGTCTTCATCGTAGTCGTTGGAAGGCGCATAGCATTGGATGACGTTCATTGTAATGCCCTCTCTCTTTGTTTTGAAGGAGGCTTTAATGATCCTTGGTCCATGAGATTCCCATCCAATAAGTGCATTTTGTGTTTTTCTGGACAGCATCAATGCAACTCCTTGTGTATGTGGGGCATTTTCTTCTTCATGACTGGAGTATAACAGAAGTTCTCCTGAAGACAGTCGTTGTTGTTCAACCTGCGTCCAATGTGTTTCACTGATTCCAAGCACCTCCAGGTTGTATTTTCTCATTTCTGCAACAATTTGGAAGACTCTGCCGGTCTCCCACATTGTCCGGACATTCCATCTACCTGTAAAAAAATTGTCACTCTGATTGTAAGAAGGTGCATCGGTCTCGTGACTTCCGAAGGAACTCGGCTTTCATCATGAGACGTCATAATTACTCCTTCAACTCCCAGGGCAGAGTTGAAATGGTTTGAATTATGTTCTGTGGTTGACGTTTTAATAGCGAGTTGGTTTTCTACGGGATGGGGTCGCTAACCCCATGCCTAACCCTCCTCCTTTAACCGGGCTTGGGACCGGCAGTAACCCTCGGAGGAGCTACAGGCGGAGTCACAGACTTCACCGTCCCTTTATTTCCACCGCAATCATTCACTGTTCTTGTTCTTTTTTCTTCAATCCCCTTAACATTCTGCTGCCATGCATATTATTTGAAATTCGAGTCAGTGCTTCTGATTGTTAACAACTCACTATAATTGACATCATCGTTATAAACGAGTAACAACGAAGTAAGTTCCACTTGAAAAACATTCAGTGTCTAGATGGGAAATGTCCTGAAACACCTATTATGTTTGTGAATGTTCAATTTTTACACTTACGAAACTGAGCAGTAGAAAAATGATGAGTTTCAGAGACTTAATTTACCACATGCAGAAAGCAAGTCTCGACACAAAATAATGAGTTCGGGACCGATTTAAAATTACCCATGTGCTTCACTGAGTTGAAATAATGGATTTTTAAGGTGATTTGAACTTCCGTTAACTGACGTTCGTTTTTACTGTAGTCAACAGTTTATCAAGTTGAGTCAACAATGTTAATAGAAACGTCATTAGTGTGTATACGTGATGAACAAACTTTTAGGAATCTAAACAAATTGCTTGGAGATATTTATATTAGCAGTTAATTGTTCGCGTAGTTGAATATGCAATTATTCACTAAAATGTCGTTTAGTTCTGAAGTTTTAGAGTAAAACCTAACCCTTTAATTTGAAAACGAATTGATTTGTAACTCAGATGAGTGTCACCATATGGAGCGAATCTTTTGGCAACGGCTAAGATGTGTGACCGCTTACTGGATCTTAGTGTAACAGATCCAGTTTCATAAAAGTGTTTGATTGATGGACATGCCGATAACAATGACGTGATGGCTGGTATCTAGAGACGTTAGCACATGAATATTTTCGGTAGTCATTTGATATTAGTCTGTGTAGTCTCTAGGATTTTCTATTTTAAGCTCCTTGTGTGTCGTTCCTAGTATGCTAATTTACCCGTGTCTTTGATAATTACTCCAGGCTGAATTTCGAACCTCTTTGTCAGTGACCTATCAGTTACATTATGTAAACAATGTGTTGATTGATGAAATCACAGGCTATGTGTCGATCATTACTTAAATTAAGGATATGTCAATATTATATGGAGTAGCTCTTAATAGTGCTTGAGGCAATCAGGAGAAAGGCAGTCTATTGAGACAAAACTCACAACGGCTCGACCTGAGTGTGATATACATCACTAATTTATTTAGGATATATAAGAAATCGTTATATAGTGAGTTTGATGTTTCCATTTAACATGTGCAAGCCTTTTAGTAGAGTCAAGTCCGCACGTTAGCAAATAGTAAGCGAAAAAATGAGGGCAATTGTTAAACAATAAAACAGGTATTTTCCACACCACGGTCCGCTCAAATAAGATTTCTTTAGTTCAAATACAAACTGAGAACTACAATAAGAAATCGTTTGAGATGAATTCACACATACAGAAGCTAATATAAGATGATCCACTAGCGCACATCCTGTGCAGATTTTTCAAGTTGTGCTGTTCATACTGACGATATTTGCTCTGAAATGTCGGCACTCTGTGTTCGAGATGAATTAAAATCATCCCGACTACATAAACCAGTGGTCATTTGGACTCAGTAGCTAGGATAAATAACACGTGGAATATTTGAAGCTATATATAGTGAATTCCAATGCCGGAGAGAAAACTAAGAAAACTGGGATGCAACAGGTAGAGCCATCCAGCTACAATTAAATCCCAAATAGGACGAGAGGATATACATCTTGGATCCGACTGTTGGTCAATATCCTATCCCATTTTACTTTTAAGTTGTACAGAAACACCTTCACTAACAATAACATCAACACAGAAAGGAAAAACAAAACGTAAATTTTCTCAAAAGAAAATGTATTTTCTTCAGCAATTGAAATAGAAAGAATTCAAAAAAAGGAAAAAAGAAACAAAAAAACAAAGAAGGAACACAAGAAAAGAAAAAAAAAACAGAACAAAACACAATCTCCTTCAGATAAAAAAAAGTTACATACCCACTATTTTATGACCAGATGAAAAATATTCAACAACAAAAAAAAACCAGAACGATTTACCTCTCTACGACTATCTTTATTCCGTTTTCTTGTTCTTCTGGTGAACGGTATTTTTATGCACTAGGATCATCATCATTCCACAATATTTAATCATAATACAACCAACTACAATCTGGATGCAGATGAATTAATAATGATAATAATAACCATCAATATTATTATTAGTATTATGTAAATATATGATGAAACGGATTAATTTCAAATAAAGCATATATATATATATATATGTATAAGTATGTACACAAGACGTTTATAATAGGTAGGCTGACAGGGATAAAGTACATATGAGTAATAATAAGAACAATAATGATCCATTCAGGATTCAATTAGATTAGTTTTTTAAAATTGAAAAGCTTAAAATCAATTGAGTGATTGTATATGCCTATTGCTTTTTCTGTATATATATATGTATGTATAGGGATCTACAACCAGTACAGTGTTCATTAAAAGTAATACAACTAATCAACCGAAAAGGAAAAAAAACAAAGCATATAGTCTTAAAGACAAATTTTAAATCATATTAGTAGTATAATTTGCTTTGATGATTTCACAATGCTTACCATAGACAGAGATAGAAATAGTAAGCATATCAGAATATATATATAAGTAGTATATGAAGAATAAAACAAAAAAGGTAGGCAGCAAAAAAGATAGGCAACTCGATTACGTGCAAAGTTAAGCTGTAATATAAGATGACATAATAGTTCATAAGTAATTCTTTATTGAATCTAGCGCCCACCCGCCAAAAAATACAGTTAATAATGCAGCATGGATAAAAATCAAGAAAAACAAAAAGATAATCACCTAATTTATGAGCCTATTTTCATTAATAAGATAATAAAAAGGTCAGTCTGTATGTTTAGAAAAAGAAAACCCAAGTTCACTAGTTGTAGACACAAAGAGGGAGAATTCCAAAGATTGAAGTAATTACTATGTACAAAGAGGCACACACAATTGGAGAGAGAGCAAGAGAGTACAAATCTCCCTCCAGCGTGTTTATTTAACATATATATGTATATATGAAATTGATAATAAATAAAAGCAAACGTATATAATCAAGAAACCAGTGAGCAAATGGGGGGGAAACCACTAGGAAAATAAACAAAAAAATACGTTCAGGTATCAATTTTTTGAAAGCCAACATTAGAAACCAAACAACACATACACCGGAGAAGAAATACTTTCGTTAAAAAAAAAAACAACTTGATGATAATAGGAAAAATTGATAAGAAAACAAAAACAGATCATAGAAGGTTACTACATGGTTGTAAATGATTTTGAATTGTTAAAAAGAAGCAACCTTATTATGAATGGTTTTATAAAGAGAATAGACAAACAAGCAAAAAAAATAACTGTAAACACACATAGGCATGTGTACATATGATATCCAGTGACAGCTATTATTCAAAGAAAAGAGAAGAACAATAAGAAGAAGCAGATACAGAGTAAAAAAAATACAACCGAAATAAATATTACATAAGAATGAATATTAAAATACACTATCACTCAATTCATTAGCTTAATGAGTAGTAATGTTAAAAAAAAACAAGCAAAAAAGAGAAAAGACAAACAATTTATCATTGATTGATTCATTTTTAACGCCACCTATAAACTATCTCGTTATTATTATTTACGAAATAAGAAAAGGATCGATATACATAAGTAAAAACCAACAAAAAAGAGGACAAATACACTCTACACAAGAAAAGAACTATATGTCTAATGCAGAATTAAGCACTTATTGGAGAGAGAGTATTAATAGTAAGAAAGAACGAAAGAAGGCACAATTTATAAATAACTTAGCAACAAAATAATTAAATCAAGTGATTGTGTGCGTGCGTATGTATATGTATGTAAAAGGAGAGGGGGGAACATCACACTTAATATACATATATCAAATCCTATATCTTTTATTTCAAAAGAATACACTTTTAATTTGTCAGCATTTGGCCTATATATATGTAGAAAGAGAGAAGATTACACCGAGTAAAACTGTTAATGATAAAATGTGAAAAAAGGAAAAAAAACTTTTTTTTAAAAAAAAACCTTGAGAACAGAGAGCGAGAGATAATAACAATAGAGAATAAGATAGGAACAGAGGGGGGGAGGGAAATAGAAAGATTTTTTTTCTTATTACAAGTAACAAAATTTTAAAAGGAATACTATCATCCAATGATAGACAAAATTCATTTAACACTTTAATCTATCCCAATTAAAGTACTAATATAGGGAAAAAAAGAAGTCGATCATTAAGAATTGAATGATTTCGGATAAACTACTGATAACAATTAAGAGTAGTACATATATAGTAGTAAGAATAACCATGTAAAATAAAGTAAATTAAAAATAATAATACATTTATACAAATAATAAAATAGATATTAAATTGTATCTAGAATAAGAAGTGTATTCAGTGTTACTAGTTTATTCACTTTCTGCCAACTAATTCACTATCATTAATAAAAGAAGAATATATGATGAACTGACTACTTCCTTTCTTTCTTTGTTTGAACATCACTTTACATTTTATTAGAAGTAAATAATGTATGTCTAGAAGGAAAGCAAACTATAATCAGCAGTGAAGAAGAGAATAAATAGTAATGATCTTACAAGTTCTTGTCTATACTATACGAAGACATTTTTTCAACTTTGCTGGGAAACAAAAGATCGAATAATTGATTACACGTTCATGAATCTAATTGATAGTATTGGATTATGAAGTACGGTAAGAACGTTATTGTTATTATTATTTTACAAAACGTCCCCCCCACACACAAAAACAACTGCTGCCAAATTAATAACCATCAAGAAAAGAATCTTTATAGAGGTATTAATTACTCTATTCACATCTTGTACTTAACATATTTATCTCTCTGTAGAATAAACATAATCCAGAAAAAAAAGAAGTAATTTGTTTTGATTAGGTCAGTATAACTTTGAGAGACTATGCTCATTATTACCAGGTAGACTAACATACAAAGGTCATTCAGTTTTCTTATCCCCATTTTCAAATTGAAACAAACAAGGAAACATGTATATGTGTGTGTGAAAAGTATCATCAAAATAACATATATATATATACACACACACAGAAACAGTATTGTCATTATAATAATTCTTAATTAAGAGAGGAAGAGAGAGTATGAGAACATAATAATAAAACATTACATTCATACTTTTGTATGTGTATTAGTTTAGTTGGAGAAAGGCGATCATTGCCGTTATCATTATTATTACAACAACAACAACAACCAGAACAGCTACTACTGGTATTATTCTTATTTACACAAACAATTGAATGATTACTATTGTGATACTTGAAACATGATAAAAGCTTCGTGGTGTTTGAATGAATCAAAAAAGGTAACTAAATAATAATAATTAAATAAATAATAACAGCATATTATATGGGAGATTGATTCAAGAGAATTTCATCATCAATGTGTGTTATTATTTATGCTTAGAAATAATTAAGGTGGATGATATTGATAGTGTCGGGGATGAAAGAAAAGGAGAAAAAAAACTCAATTGCATAGCATAAGAAACAGAATGATCGATAGCATATGAAGTAAATTGAATGCAATTCATAGAGAGGGCGGGCGCGCACAGGAAAGAAAAAATAAGAATAGACTTCAACTACAAAACCGGGGTGAAATCTCAGTAATATGTAGAATGTCTACACAATTACATATCGCGTTGAGGAGAATGGGAGTAGACTTCCTCATCACAATCTCATACCATTATCCACTGACAACAAATATACAGGATGTTCACACACACACACACGTGTCATATATATATCATATTACATAATGCTTGTGTCTGAGTAATTGAAGATAATTCATGAGAGTGTACTTCAGTAACAAAGTTATTTATATAAGATATAAAAAAGATTGAAAGTTATACACACAAAAAAATATAACATATCATAATAGAAGAGGGAATAAAACTAGCAAAGTGAATGAATTAGGCAGATAAATAATATAAAGAAACAGATTACATAATCACTAACAACAATACCATTGTCGTACTATAACATTGTAAGGATTTCAAAGAAACCAATCAGGATTGCATCCATATTTACTGACTTTTTATGAGTAATATGAAGGGATATTTAATCGATCGAAGTCGTTATGGTGGTGGTGGAACGGCAGAAGTAGTAGAAGTAACAATTGATCCAGATAGTTTAATTTCTTGACTTGGAGAAAATGTTAAATAGGATGCATTCATAATGTCCTGCTGTGAATTATAATGTTGAGATGTAGTCGTCATCGTCGTGGTGGCGCTACTACCACTACTATTACTACTACTGGAAGGGAGTTTTTCATGAATACAGTGCGCTAAATTAGCGGAAGGAGACTGTTTATCATTATTCATGGAGACAGACTGACGAGAAAAAGATACTGTATTTGTATGGGAACTAGTAACAGGAGTATTAGTGACGACTGGGGTAGTAGTAGTAGTAGTAGAAGTAATAGTACTACTAATACTACTAACAATTACATTGGTTGTTGTCGTTATTATTGAACAAGTTGTAAGTGGTGGATTGACAGTTGAAGTGGTTGTAGAACAGCTACTGTTACCAGTCTGTTGTTTCTGTTGTCCTATATTTTTATCAAAGAGATAAAAGGGAGTAAAAAATGAAATACAAGAGTAATGGCATTTTAATGTAGTATAATCATTAATATGAATAGATATGTAACAATTTATTTGTAATAAGATCATAATTTGATTTTTTAAAAATTCTGGTTGGTGCTTTTTAGCAAGGTAATTTTCTACGGGATGATGAAGTTGCTGACCCCATGTCCAACTCTCTTCCTTTTACCTGGTCTTGGGAAAACAAACGGTAGTTACCTTAGAAGAGCTACATGCTGTACAATACAAATTGACAAATTCAAGTAACTTGTCCTAATCTAGTTACGCAGTATAATACGCATATTACGTAATAGTATGTTATTTGACAACTGTTCCCAAGCAATTATTTTGGTTAGAATTATATGTATTATGCCCCCAAAATGCCCTCGTAAGGCCGAGTGTGGGGTGAGTTCACTCTCCCTCTCGAAATGCTCTCACATGGCCATGCGTATATAGCTTCTGCCAAGGAAGTCCTACTCACTGCCTTCTCGCGGTATTACTGTTGTCTACGAAATTGAGGGGACGAAAAGCGAATGTTCGGCGCTTTAACTGGGTTGGTGGACATGGAAACTCCCCCTAGGGGTGTTGGAAAACCCTCATTACAAACCAATGGTGACCATAGGCTCCAGTATCCTGAGGGAAAAAATGGCATACGAACCAATTTTTGGTCACCGACTACCATGGGACTGCATCTCGTCACGATACTTCACTGCCTTGTGGATCAGACCTTTAGGTCAAAGGCTCCCTAAGAAAACCACCTGCTTCAGTTTGGACACCCGGGCAGTATCACAGCCCCCCCCCACAAATATATATATATATATATATATGGTTGCTATATTTGAACAGATTAAAATATCACCTTAAACAGGCGAACGGAACGAAAGTCAACGACACAACAACAGGACAAGCTAAACTATTTTAATTGCACTCTAGTCCTGCTAACTAAAGGGAGAAGATCAGATTCAAACGATGAAAATGTATTTTCCATAAGTAAACGGAATCACGAACCAAGTGAGAAATACAAACTGAAGGTAAAAATGGGTGCTTTTTGCTCGAAAATAAGGAAGTCAAATTTCCAAAATGTAGTCACAAAAATGAGATGTTTACCAAGTGATCTCTGGGGTTCTAGCATTCTTAACAATGATATAAAAAGTCAACTGTATAGTTGATACGTTTAAGGTTAGTAATCATTAAATCTCGGACAGTACGATATAATAATTACCTTACATACTTATGACAGATCATCTGTTTTTTTTATGACCGATAGAGAACATTCAGTTCATCTGGTTCGTAAGAATGAGAAATATGTTAAACGAAAGGAGAAAACGTGGATAGACTGTTTTTTTTTTCCATGTGTCTTAGAAGCATTGCAGTCGGTTTGGTTAGAATCTGTGTGATAACTGAGATCGATGAATGGAGATGAAACGAAAATAAGTCAAAATGGTGCAGATGAATTCACTTCTTATCTTTCATTAGATTTAGAGTTTTGTCTTAGTATGTGATTCATTAGTAGCAATAGACATCTACAAACCTTAAAATCACAAAGGAATGAACCCAAGAGCTCCAGATCTCACAGCGAGAATGTAATATTTAAACTCTAGAAACGCATCCAATGGTTTACACGTTTAGTCTCAGTCAAATCGCGAAAAATTGCTCAACCATTTTCTATTATCTTCGGCAGGTAATCTCTTTACATATCTTATTCACTCTTGATTGGCATTACACATAAATTGCTAGTCGATTAGATATTATTTATCTATGACATAAGACTTGAGATTTTCAGTCACTTTAGATGAATTAAAACGAAACAAAAGTTTTATACACATAATTATGAATGTGTATTACTCTATAGAAAGTATACTTGTTACGTCATTTACTAAGGAGAACGGGGATCATATCAATTTTAACTTGACATTTAAACAGAGTTCTTACCACCTTCATCTTTACGAGTGAAAAAGCGATGCGTTAGAGCTTCCTCTGGACGAATACGAAACCGTGGTTCGTATACTAACATACGTTGGATTAAATCGACGAATTTATCGTAATCTTCAGGTGTGTGACCTTGTTCCCCACGACGACAACTTTTAGGCCCACCAATATCAGCTCCAACAACTGTACGCAATGTTCTTGTTCCAACTCCAGCGAATTTACACTATCAAAAGAAAGGAGATTTTCAGTGAAAGTTATTAGAAATAAATATTGAGTAACTAAAATTGTTTGACACATGTGCATCGACTCAAGTTGATATATGCCCTCATTAGCATAATGAGATAAAATTATCAAGATAAATCTCATGGTAGTAGAAGCAGTGACGGTATTAATGGTAACAAAGATTAGATGTAGACAATAGAATAAACAGTAAAAAGAGAAGACATATAGTGAATGCATCTGTTTCATTGAGATCGATTTTGAGTTATATCGCCTAGTGCCTCAGAACATTGGTTAGGATAACTACAGCAACCTCAAGCAGGTAGCTTACACTTGTTAATACAGCTCAGTTCAATGGTCAGTGACTTCGTGAACTGGTACATCTTGATTTGCCGCATCTGCTTTTCTTCCAGCTGATTACTATATCAACATGATGCGACCGACCAGGTAGGCAATGGTTGAGCATACATATTTCCCAACCACTCCAACTGACGAGTATTTACTATCTTTTTAATATCTTTGTCTTCTTTCTTAAGTACCCTATGTCTAACCCAGGCATTGTGAACAAACAATCAATCAATATGGGGTTTTGTGGAGATTTTAGTAATATAATAGTTGAATCCACGGGTCAATTGAAGCTAGACCACCATGGTAAACCTGGAAGCACTAGACGGCCATTTTGTCCTACTGTGGAACTCCTCAGCAGTGCGCATTCATGATCCCGGTGACAAAATACGAACCCAGGACCTATCAGCCTCGCGCGCGAGCGCTTACCCTCTAGACCACTGAGCCGGCATCCAACTCATGAATTCAACTATAGAATAACCAATGAACAAACTAAGTGTATATAATGCAGAAAGAAGCGAAGATAATGAAAGTTGTCATTTTCAAATATATAAAACATTTTTCTTATCAAGATACTACTACTTATGAATGTGTGCATTACCACACAGAGATAATGAATGTGTTGAGAAATCACGAACCAAAAATGTCAAGTGATAACAGTGTAAAATGGAAAAATTACCAAAAAATCTAAGAAGACAACTCAGTAAAGCTGAACTACTTTCTTCAAAAAATGAATAAATCCAGAAATGAACAACTTATTCTATTATCTTGGGGCATATCTCGAAATGGTATATTATCTATCTAATATGCGGTGACTAGTATTAAGAATGAAAGGGGTTCTATCCTAACGAAGAGTAAATGGATAGTAACTGGTATAAATTTTTAATGGATTATTATTACTACATACATTCTTGTTGTATAATTGTTAAGTAACTAGACTATATTTATTTATATTCCTCTTATTATAACCTTTTATTTGACCAACTGGTTATTAGGATACGATTTACTATTATTAAGTTATTCCCAATTTATTAGCTACAGTCTTTTACAATCACAGCCACTTTTGATCTGATCTTGTATAATTGTTATTTTCTATTTTATGGTATGATGCGGTCCGATTTGCTTGTATATAAATTGAATATGTCTATAATACATGATTGATATAGCGGAGGCTGACATTGGTGTTTTGGACTGAACCGGCTGAGTTAGGCGAGGAGCTACTATCTCGGAGGACCAATAAGAACTCACAGTTGACTCTAGGCTTCTCGCACTGGTCAACGAGTTGGTGTTCTAATTGGCAATGTTATCACGTGATAATTAACAAGACATAAGAACATAACAAAAGGAACATAAGATAGAACTATGATTTTAAGGGTTAGTGTTTGAGATTAAAGATCAAGAGTTCAAAGACTTAGGCTCCATATAACCTATGTGTAAAACTTAATTCCAATTCTGAAGCTTTCATACTAATCTTAGCAACAAAAAATTATTCATTCATATTTGTTATATTCCGATTGGCTGAACGACGTGAATAATTTATCAAGGTCAGTTATGGAGTATAGCACAAACTCGCCATGTATAGTTCACAGCATCATCAAACAACCAGTTTGTCTCCTCTATCTATCATTCGAGAAATAATATTGAATAGCATGACAATAATGAACAATGATCAAAATTCCTAAGAATCTAGTTCTAGGAGCAACTGACAACACCAATTAGTGAATGGTATTTTCTAGGCTTAGTGAAAGATCTAAAGATAACTATGACTGGAACCTCTTCTTTAAATAAATATAGTCCCAGGGAAATAAATCTCATAATTTCTAGTGCATAGATAAATATTGTATTTTTCTTTGTTCAAAATTCCACTCACCTCGTAAGTACACTCTTGTTTAGTCCATACACGTTTCGGTTTGTAAAATACAGTCCCAGATGTTGATAATAATACGCCTGAATTCAATTTATCAGTTATATTGTTTGACGTATTCGAGTTATTATTATTACTATCACAGTTATTTGTAACATCAGGGTTGACTGGATTTTTGACATTTGTACTATTGGAGCAAGAATTAATACAATCAGCACCACAGGCCGAACTACTACTAATGGCAGTAATTTTTGATGAAGATAAAACAGTGGCTGTTGTTGTTGCTGCCGTCGTATTATCTCCAACTATTGTGTTTGTTTTAATTGTAGTTGTTAATGTACCATATGTAGTTGTCGATGGTGTCGTTGTATTGACAACAGTAGCGTTCGACGCCAGATTAATACTAGTATTATTGGCAGTAAAGTCAGCACCACCATCAGTGGTAGAAGTACTGATTACGTTTGTTGTTGTTGTTGAAGTAGAATTCAAATTTACCGGTATGCATTCAAAAAAGTTTGATAATTTAGGACTAGCTTCAATCATATACACCGGTGGGAAACCAAGCACTTCGATAATTTGGAGTAGTTGTTCAAGCTGAAGAGTAAAATACAGTTAAAAAAAACTAATAAAATAGTTCAAATGGGAAGGAGTAATAATAATAACAGCTAAACAACCTCCACCTCAAGTTTAAAATAGAAACCGTCATCATCATCATCATCATCCAGTTAATGAAACTATTATTCAGGCGACAGTACCTTCAAAATATACATCGACTATAAATGACAGTCAAATTGTAATGTATAAAAGCGTTTAAAATCTTTTTATATATTTGAATGTGTATTGATTAATTTCTTTTTACAAATAACAATTCTATTGAACAATATTAAGACACGGTTTTCTTACAGCTATACCTATTTGATTATATATGCAAAAAGGCTATGCATTGATGTGATGTTGAGAAAAAAACCCTGTGATAATCAGTCTCACAGTGAGTAAAATGCACAGAACTAATAAGGGTCACTTTTGAAGATAGTTCAACAAACATATTTGGTAACAACAAATAAACAGGGAGATTTTACTTTACGGGTGGTAATAGTTTCCTTGTTTGTACAATAGACAAAGAGATACGGTGTGCTAAAGTTGTTCCAATGATTATTCGTTCATATAATTTATATAAAACCTGATACCGCTAGACAAAAAAATATAGGATATACTAAACAATATAAAATGTGTGAAACGGGATACTTAGAGTGCGACTTTCTGTTAGCCCTTGAATGAAGAGTTTTATCCACAAGGGGCTGAAGATGCAGTCTCGTAGTAATTAGTGAACAAAAATAGGTTCGTACAACTCTCGTTCTTTAGGATCCAGGATCCTAAGTGAACCATTAGCTTGGAATCATAATTTTCCAACTCACCTAGGTGATTCCTGAATGTTCACCACTCAGTTTTACTTCCTGATGCTCACTTTTCATTGCCTCATTTTCGAAAAGACAATCTAACCATATGAAGATACTGAGTAGAGCTTATATGGTAGAGATTGTAAGTATATCGTTGTATGAGAGTATTTAGAGGAGAGAAAACTGTCTCCAGTCTTGACCACTAAGACATGCAGATGGAATGAGTAATAACTATGAAAGAGGTTCCACACAATTGAGTCCAATATACAAAGTGATTATCTCTACTGACGATTATTTTTGTATAAGTGTTATGCCTGAAACTAAATCGATTCCGCGGTAACGAACGAAAGCCAATGACACAATGACACGATAAGCTATTCTAATCGGTTGTCCCAGGCCCCGCTAACTAGATGAAGAAGTCCAAGGCAAGTAGGGGAATATATATGTATTCCGTAAGCAGCCGAGTACAAGCAATCCAATAAGGGAAAAAGTCAAGCGCATTTATACAACAACAATTTGTCCTTGAGCATCATTGGTAAATAGCACACACAAAGAAACAAAGGACCAATAGCGGTTAAGATAGTTTACAGGTGGGAAATATGACGTGAAGGTAAAAAGAGCGCGTTTGGCGCTAAAACAGCTAAATTCAAATTTTCAAAATAAAACTACAAGATTAAGCCATTTACCAAGTAAGTTCTGGGGATTTGACATCCCCAACACCTCCCCTTTTTAGTAACGGACATTCTTTGGGTCCACCTGCATTCTAACTGTCTGTCGCCGTTGGCGCAGTGACCATCTTCGGGACCGTAGATCGACCTTTTGATCTTCTTCATGCGTTGGGACTGCCGGCAGATTAAATGTATCCAATAGTACGTCCAGCGGAATCTTTACTTCGGTCGATGGGCGCTCTGGTGTTAACCGCTTGCGTAGTTGATTTCGATGTCTGGTCCATCTGTCCGTTCCTACCTCAACCTCATACATAACTTCTCCCATCCGTCTAACCACACGTGCTTCGATCCAAGGGTCACGATTTGCTCTGTAGTCCCGAGCGAATACTGGGCATCCAACGTTGTACGTGGGTAGCTTCCGGGACGTGGTTTGTATTAGTGGTGGTGTGGATTTCGGCAGCATCAAGTTGTGAATGGTCCTCAGCCGTCTTCCCATGAGGATCTCTGCGGGGGACTTCTGCTCCGGCAGCGTGTCGTTGGGGGTCGTTCTGTAGGCAAATAAAAAATTCTGCAGTGTTTCCACTGGCGTCCCCTCCCCTTTTGACTTAATCAGAGCCCTCTTGAACGTATCCACGAACCTTTCCGCTTGCCCATTCGATTGTGGGTGGTAAGGTGGGGCGCGAAGATGCCTGATGGTTAGGCGTTTGCAGAACTCTTGGAACTGCGAACCGTTGTCGGATACAATCACTTCCGGTAATCCGTTTCGTGCGAACAACTCAGTCAAATGTTTCAGAGTCTGGGTGGTCGTTGGTGGAGTGACGGAAACAATCTCCGGCCATTTTGAGAAGGCGTCGACCACGATAAGATATGTGGTTCCGTTGACTGGACCGGCAAAGTCGATATGTATCCTAGACCAGGGATGCTCAGGCTGTGGCCATGGGACCGGCGGTACCTTCGCATTGGACTTTGCAGCTTGTTGACACTGAGCACATTTGTTTACTAGATCCACGATATGCTGGTCCATGAGGGGCCAGTAAGCATAGCTTCTGGCGATGGATTTCATACGCTTTATGCCTGGATGACCAATGTGGAATTGCTTCAGCACCCTCGGTCGTAGGGATTCTGGCACGACCACTCTATCTCCAAACATCAAGCATTCATTTACGACACATAATGAGTCACGACGATGGTAAAGCTGCTTCATGTCACCGTCAAGTTCAGTTGATGGCCAGCCATTGGTGACGTAGTTCATCGTTTTCTTAATGACGGGGTCGTTTCTGGAAGCAATTTGTATCTCAGATTCTAAGACTGGCAAAGCACGAACAGCGGTTGTCAGGTAGCATTGCGCGTGGTCTTCTGTCGAAAAAGAAGCGATAACGGCATCTTCATCGGTCGTAGAGTGTTCGTTGATGAGTCGTGACAATGCGTCTGCTTGACCAAATTGTTTGGTGCGTCGATACTGAATGTCAAAATCATACCCCAAGAGGATCAAAGCCCATCGTTGGAGACGGTTTGCAGAGTGGGCCGGGACGCCAGATTTCGAACCAAAAATTGCGAGAAGGGGCTTGTGATCCGTAAGGAGTGTGAACCTCCGACCGTACAAAAATTTGTGGAACCGCCGCACCGCAAACACCAGGGCGAGAGCCTCCTTCTCTATCTGACTATACTTCCTTTCTGCCGGGGTCAGTGTTCGGGATGCGTGCATGACAGCCTTCTCTGTTGCGTCTGGAAACTGATGAGAAATGACGGCTCCTACGCCATACGCTGAGGCATCTGCAGCTACAATGATTGGCATGCATGGATCGTAGTGCGTTAATAACAATTTCGAGCTGATGATGGACTTCAGTTTACAGAATGCTGCGTCACACTCTTTAGTCCAGTTCCACGTACTGTTCTTGCTCAGTAGGCCATTCAGTGGGGCACGAATGTCATGCATTGAAGGGACGAACGCGGCATAGTAAGAGACCAGTCCCATGAAGGAACGCAGTGCGGAGATATTCGTGGGTGTGGGCATCTGTCGTATCGCTTGGACATTTTCAGGATCCGGTCTGCGGCCGTCAGCATCAAAAATAAACCCCAAATACTTTACGGACCGTAATAAAAACTGGCATTTCTCAGGTCGTAACCGGAACCCGTTTTCACTAATGCGTTTCAGTACCGATGTCGTTCGCTCATGTAGCTGTTCTAACGTTGCGGCAACAATTAGAATGTCGTCAAGGTAAGCTGCGACTCCCGGGATGCCCGATAAGATAGTATCCATTAATTGTTGGAAAATAGATGGTGCAGTCTTGACACCGAATGGTAAACGGTTGTACTGAAATAACCCACGGTGAGTGTTGATAGTAAGCAGCTCCTTAGATGCTTCGTCTACTTCAACTTGCAAATAAGCATCAGCAAGATCCAGTTTTGCGAAGAATTTTCCCCCATTCAGCATCGTAAACAAATCTGCCGGAACTGGTAAGGGATAGTGGTGTTGTTCAAGGGCTGCATTTAGACCTGTAGAAAAATCAGCACATATTCGTAAGGTGCCGTTTGCTTTCTTGATGACCACTATCGGTGCTGCCCAGGCGGAGTAAGAAACGGGAGTAATTACTCCTTGTTGTTGGAGGCGGTTTAATTCTTCATCTACTGTTGGTAACGTCGCATAAGGCACGGGTCTTTTGGGACGAAAGACAGGCTTAGCTCCAGGTTTCAAACGAAGCGTTGCTTTTAAGGTAGAACACTGTCCCAAACCAGGCTGGAAAATCGATGAAAACTGCGCCATTAGCTTCCTGGTATACGATTCAGTGCCATGAGGTTGTGATATCATGTGGCATATGGTATTTAGTGGGACATCAGCCAATTTCAGTTGATCGAACCAATCTAAACCAAGTAAATTTAGATCAGCTGGAGTTATATGACATACCCCGGTAAATGACGACTCCCGGAAGGTCACTCTACATTCCAATTGTCCTTCTAAGTGTAGGAAATTACCACATGCGGTACGAGGCTTTTTAGTTGTTCGCTGCAGGCTTGGGCGACCCATTTTGATCCAATTTTTGTGAGAGAGGATGGTGACGTCTGATGCGGTATCTATTTGCAATCTAAAAAAATGTCCATTAATATTAATGTTAATGAATTTCCTCTCACCTGGTGATGAACTCTGACAAGAAGATACCAAGCTCAAAGAAGAGGTACAGGGCTTTGGAACCGTCTTTTTGGTATTACTGGATCGATTTGGTGTGCTCTTAAGGCAAAACCCGTCCTTGTGGCCAACAACCTTGCACTTCCTGCATCGATGTTGCTTAAATGGGCAATTCCTTACGTAGTGCCATGCACCACAATGCCAGCAAGGAGTGGAGGGATTTGTTCTGGTCTGTCGAATTGGGCTGAAATGAGTTGGACTGAATGCAGCGGGAGCGCACTGATTCTGGTTAGTTGTCTTTTGGATTACTCGTACTTCCGATCGACTAGACCCACCACTCTCAACCATCGACGTGTCTCGTTGTAGATTTACTAGGCGTTGATATTCATTAGCCATGTCATTTAGTGTGAGTTTTGGATCTTGGTCCAATCGACATAGTAGTCGCGTTCTTATGTCACTGAACTTCTGGGACTGAAGGCTGCAAATGAGGATAAGGGCTTTGAACTGGTCTTCAGATAAAGACTTTAACCGGAACCGTTCGCATTCACGGTTAACGATGCCCACATGCGTAAGGAAGTCATCGTCTTCGTTCATAACCAGCTTCAAACATCGGTAACGGGTGTTAAACAATGATGAATTGTCCCCAAAATGTAGGCTTAGTGTCTGGACTGTGTCTGCGAAAGAGCGATCACGTGGATTCAATGGCAGGATCAAATTGCAGTACCTGTCCAGCTCACTTGCACCCAACTTCCGAAGTAGCAGTCGTACCTTCCAAGCATCATCTTGATTAGCAAAATCAAATTTAAATAGGTCTTCATAACGCCGGAACCACATGTCAAAAGTAACGTTTGCATCAGGATCATAATGAAACTCAGCAATACTATTTGCGACGCCGTCTACTGATGGTGCTGTGGTTGCATTAGCTGTGCCAGGCTGTGAAGGGGGCGAAACTTTCATGTCTGTCAGCATTTGTATGAGCTTCAGCTGCTGTTCAAGTAATGATTCGAGTTTAGAAGGATCCATGTTTCCAAACCACCGTCGCCAATTGTTATGCCTGAAACTAAATCGATTCCGCGGTAACGAACGAAAGCCAATGACACAATGACACGATAAGCTATTCTAATCGGTTGTCCCAGGCCCCGCTAACTAGATGAAGAAGTCCAAGGCAAGTAGGGGAATATATATGTATTCCGTAAGCAGCCGAGTACAAGCAATCCAATAAGGGAAAAAGTCAAGCGCATTTATACAACAACAATTTGTCCTTGAGCATCATTGGTAAATAGCACACACAAAGAAACAAAGGACCAATAGCGGTTAAGATAGTTTACAGGTGGGAAATATGACGTGAAGGTAAAAAGAGCGCGTTTGGCGCTAAAACAGCTAAATTCAAATTTTCAAAATAAAACTACAAGATTAAGCCATTTACCAAGTAAGTTCTGGGGATTTGACATCCCCAACAATAAGATGTTGAGTTATCAATACAAGATAATCTTAGACATAGAGATAGATATAATAAATAACGAAAGAGAATGATAACAACAGTATATAACGAACAAACCTCATTCGCTCCGCAAAATAATGGTTCGCCAGTGTGCATTTCGACTAAAATACAGCCAAGTGACCACATATCAATGCCCAAACCATAGTCTAAATTGAACAATACTTCTGGAGAGCTTAATATAGAAAAGAGAAAACATGGTTTTTGAGAAATAAGCAATAAAAACGAGAGGTGGACATAATAATCAATGATACTAGTAAGTAGAAAAAAGACTCGTTTTTCTCATAATTTCTTTTCATTATACATTATAAATGAAAGGAAAAGTACAACTGAGTGTTATATGATAATAATGGTAATGTTTCAGCGAAGGAAAACGCGCGACGATGCTAAAAATGACGAGAAGAAGTGATGACTATATTACGTAGCTATTCGAAATCAAGTCTACAGAGTGAGTTTCGAATCTTTGAAATTATTATCTGATTGCATATCGTTTGTCCAAACTAAATGTACAACAATTATTGTGTACAACATTTACCCTTTAGTCTTTGTTAAAACTACAGGACACTCATTTCTGAATAACCCAGTGACGAGCAGTTTTTTATTTATTTAAACACATATATATTGGTACAAGGAAGCACCAGATACATATGCGCCATACAAATATCACTCGATTTGCTTGAGGGCTGTGTTACTACCCAGGTTCCCAAACTGAAGCAGGTGGTTTTATTAGGGGACCACACCCAGAGCCTTTGACCGAAAGATCTGATCCATACGGCAGTGGAGCATCGTGAGGAGATGCAGTCCCATGGTAGCCGGTGATCAATGATTGATTCGTACGCCATTTGTTCCTTCAGGATACTGGAGCCCATGTGCACCATTGGTTTGGAATGAGCGTTTTCCAACTCCCCTGGGTGGACTTGCCTTGTCCACCAACCCGGTTAAAGCGCCGCACATTCGCTTGTCGTCCTGTCACTTTCGTAAACAACACCCTCGCCACGAGAAGGCAGTGAGTAGGACTTCCCTGGCAAAGGCTATATATTCGCTGGCCATGTGAGAGCATTTCGAGAGAGAGAACGGACTCTCCCCACTCTCGGCCGTACCAGGGCATTTGGGGGCTGTGATGAGCATTAGATCACGATCCCTATATTTTCTCACATAAGCGGGTGCATACAGAAATTTGATCTACATTTTCTATAATCGTGAATCAGACGAATTCGTACCGATACTATTTACAGCGGAAAATGTAAAATCTGAAAGATATTTATCAATAATATATACCCCCCCCTCAAAAAAAATTTATCGACACGAGCTCACATTCAAAACAGCGACATCAAAAAATGTGTAGGAAAACTTTTCATGAAGACATTGATGAGTGTATCAATGAGTTTACTAGCTCTTGTGGAGTAGGTTAAGTCTATTGCACAAAAGTGAGCTCTTCCAAAACACACCTCCAAACATTATTCCGATTGGATGTCGAAAAAGGAGTATAGTAGTTATAACTCATAGATTGTAAGTCAAGTTGTTCCACCATAATCAATATTTAAAGATCATCCATCCGATCAAACAAGTTGTTTAGAATGACGTACAAAATAAGGAAGTATTCACTGAAGAGGGAAAGGGTTGAAAATACTTTCCACACAACTGATCTTGCTATTGTCTAGTCGACTAAAGATGTTTACTGAAACAAAGGATAATTTTGCATCTGCTTTACATCTACTAATTCAGCCGCTCCTGTGGAGGAAGCTATATTGAGTGTAACACCAGGTGACTTTACCAACAAATGAGTGCAGATCTCCCTGTGATTTGAAAAGGGTCAATTAAAGATAATATGTAACTCTATTTTATCACATTTTGTCAACAGCAGTTAAGTGTCAAATACAACTAAATTATCCAAAATGATCAGTCAGATACCTTCTCATTTTCCCCCCAACATGATTCGACTTCTTTTCCTACATACAACTAAAACAGTAGGGATTCGAGCCTACAACCTAAGTCATATATGCTAAGAATAACTAGCCTTTTCCTTGATTTGATTAAAATAAAAAAGCGATTTGATTCTTTTAAATTCATTGTTTGTGTGTTTTTCTTCACTCTATTTTGTATTGATATATTTGCACAGATTGTCTGAACTTACTATGTAGTAGTAATAATTTAGTGTTTATTATTCCAGGTTTGAACTGCTTTCTTTATTAAAATATTTATTTACTGTCTTTATTTTTGTCACTACCAGTATGCCTGTTGTCTTAGCGTCAATTAGTACTATTTACGTTATCGTTCCTCAATGTGATTATTGACGAATAAATTGACCTAGTTGGTTTGATTTTTTTGCACATGCATATAAACATTGCTTTATATTAAAGCTTAACAAAGAATGAATTGTTTGAAATTAGATCTGTACACCACTGAATACCAATTGTGTGGTTTAAGAGTTAAGTATAAGCGTGGTAGATAGGGAGGATCGACTTATGGAGGTTGGAAAACCCTCATTACAAACCAATGCTACACATGAGCTCCAGGATCCTAAGACAACGAGTGGCATATGGACTAATTGTTGGTAGCCTGATACCACGGGAATGCATCTCCTGACGTTGATTCACTGCCTTGTGGATTAGACCTTCAGGTCAAAGGCTCGGCTTGTGGCACCTCGGCAGAATCCCAGCCCTCAAACAAATCATTCGATTTGTTTGGCCAATGTTTATGTGTTTAAATAAATAAAAATAAAATAATTCGCAAGCGAGATTAAAGGTACTGGGGTTCCATCCTTAGAGCTAAACTCGAAGATGCAGACAGACAACAATTCCTATACTAGGACAAAACAATTGTCGAGTGCTTCCAGATCCTTAATGACCTCTTAGACATGTGTTTTCGTAATAAATATATATCACTAAGGTACTTTTTTCGTGAAATACTTTGTATTTTTTCATAAATATTTATATTCGTTAATACAGAGAAAGAAATAGACAAAAGAATATGAAAAAATGGTTAAAAAAAGTTTAAACACTTCGACTTCAATTACTTAGAATCATAATCTAATGAGTCGAGCTTACTCGTCCCCTTTTCCTTTGTAAACTTTTAAAAAAAAGTGTGATATTGCGTAATAAAAAAATTAGCTTAAGTATTCTAGCATTAACACCCTTGAAAACTATTCAAAAAGCAACCCTGTTAAAATTTTGATTCTTGAATTATTTTTTTTCAGATATTAAGCAACTTGTTCCTTATTGATTGATAATTGAGTTTTTGCAAGGGAATTCATATACATCCCATTAATAATTGGAAGTAACTAGAGTTAATAAATGGTATATGACTTGAGAAGAGGGACCCATGAAATAAGAAATGAATACATTCATTATAATGTTATGCAAATATTATCTGCCATTCTTGTATTGTTTTAAGAAAAATAATGAAGTAGACATGAATTTAATTGTGACGAGAAAAAAAATACAGTCATGAAGAAGAGTGTTGGTTCGGGAATCGATAAATCGGTCAAAGTCTTATTCTTAGTACCAACATGCTAATCCTACTACCACTGTATATATTAATGAACAATAATAATGATAATAATCAAGGGAGTTAAAATTAACTCGATACGCAAAAATATACTCCTATTATATATACACATATTATGTGGTATCATCACAATAAGTTCTCACATAGCCTACGCCAGGAAAGTCCTACTCACTGCCTTCTCGCACAATGGCTGTTGTTTACCAAATTGAGAGGACGAAAAGCGAATGTCCGGAAGGAGCTTTAACCAGGTTGGTGAACACGGAAAGTTCACCTAGGGGAGTTGGAAAACGCTCATTCCAAACCAATGGTGCACATGGTCTCTAGTATCCTGAAGGAACAAATGGAGTATGAATCAATCGTTGGTCACTGGCTACCATGGGATTTCATCTCCTCACGATGCTCCACTGCCGTGTGGATCAGATCTTTAAGTCAAAGGCTCGAGGTGTTGTCCCCTCAGAAAACCACCTGCTTCAGTTTGGGAACCTGGGCAGTATCACAGCCCTCACACAGGTCAAATGAGATTTGTGCGGTGCATTTATATCTGTTCATTACGCCGAGAAATAGAGACAGACATGAGAAGAATGAACAAGAACTAGAAAAGAAGGCCCAGGACAGAGTGGGTTTGAGAATACTGGTCGGCGGCCTATGCTCCATTGGGTGTAACAGGCGAAAGTAAGTAAGTATTTATATCTGTTGCTTCTATTACGAGAACTAATTGGTAGTGTAGTAGAATTTAATTTGCAGTTGTTGCAGTTGTAATATAATTGTTAGTCAGCAAAATAAATACTTTGTAGTAAATCAATAGTAATGATAGCCAAAGGATGTAAAGAAACAACGAATTAATCGCTAACGTTAACAAGAAAGACATTACTTCTTCTTGTTCATAAAAGACTGTAGATAGCCTGGATATTTGAATGAGAGAGAGGACATTTAATTTTCCAATTTGTTGCTTATTCAACATTAACGCCGTCGTCTTAGTTGTCTAGAGGTTAAGTGATCACGCGTCATTAAAAAAACGTGTTGGGTTCGATTCCCCGAGTGCAATCGTGGATGTGCACTGATGATGAGGAATCTTATACTAGGACGAAATGACCGTCCAATGTTTCCAAGTTTTCAATAATAGTCAAATACTGATCAATCAAAATCAACAATCTTCACAACCCTCATTACTGATAATATTAAAGACAAAAACAATTCAATATTACATAATTAACAATGAAATACACATAACTAACTTACCGATAAAATCTTGATTGAATATATTGATATACTTTTTCATGTACATGACATGAACTACCAAAATCAATGACTTTAATTGCTGAACGTTTTGGATTAACTAACAAGATATTTTCCGGTTTTAAATCACAATGTATTACTTGTACATCGGGTCTAGATAGAAATACTAATGCAGCACATAATTGTTGAGCAAATTTTCTTGTTAAATTTAATGATACACCACGATAATTTGTATTACCAAGTAAATCATATAAATTATATGAGAGTAATTCAAATACTAAACATAAATGACCATGGTAACTGAAATGTCCTTTTAAATTAACTATTAAATAAAGAAAAAAAAATAAAAATAATGAAAATATAAGTAGTAAAACATTGTATACACAAAAAAGTGTTATACCCTGATAACAATAGTGAATGGTAACTTTGGGATTCATTTAAGCACCCATATTATGCATATAACTTTTATCCTATATTTGCTAAATAATTAAACTACTCAAATCCATGTTATCCTTATTATAAGATTTATTTTGACCCTTGGACAATTATTAAACGATTTACCATTCCTGAGTTATACTCAGTCTATTAATTACTGCTCCTACTATTCAAAGGCACTTTGGCTAAATCATGTACAAATGTTATTTTCTATTTTATGGTACGATGTGGTCAGTTTGTTTGGTATATAAACTTAGTATGTTTGAGAATAATGATTCGTATTGCCGAAGCTGTTATTGGTGTTCTGGACTTAACTGGCTGGGCTAGGCAGAAGCAGGATCGATACGCACTCTAGACTGCTCGTACGGTTTTCATGTGTCACTGTTCCAATCGATAATTCGCAGTTTTATCATGTTATACGTTAGCAAGGCATCCACTCAGCCACAAGATAATAATTTAGATCATTTCTGAATATCATTAGTATTGTAATGTACAAGGACACGACTGGGGACAATCGAATGTATTTAATCACAAATTACAGACTATCTCACTAAATTCAGATAACCATACAGTACACAGATAATTTGCAAAATAACAATCAATTGCCTCAATCTTTACTATTGCTTCTGTAAATATCAGTCCATCTTCTACAATTTCATTGTTTATGCATTTTCCTACCGATTGCGCTTCATTTCTGTTCTTTCCTTATCGGTCTTCTGCCAAAATACATTCTATGTCTTACCATCAACATACACTACTTATGTGAATATAAGTAGCCCACACCACAGTATGGAGATTGTAGTATTTTAACAGTTTAATTCACGAGTCGATCTAAGCTAGAACACTATGAAATGAAATTATTATTATACTCAGTTGAAGGTGGTTATGATGACGTATATACAATAAATAGGTTGAATAATGATAATTATAGTGTTACGCAATAGGATATTAAAAACAGATATTAATACCGTTAGAGGTCTAGTACAACAACACTTGAGATTAAATAACTGATTTTTCTTAACAACAAAGTTTCGTAATGGAATCTCTACATGAAATATTCAATAATGCAGGAATAAGCATTTGCTGAGTTGTATGGATTTTGGATATTATTGAAATACTGAAGCTTACATAATAAACTGAGCTTTGTTAGGAAAAAAAATTGAAAACCAGGAATTACTGGGGAGCTGTTTCGTCGTACTATAGAATTCCTCAATTGTGCGAATAGATGACTTTTCACTAGATATCGATTGCAGAACTTTCAGGTCATGCAGTGAGCGATTAAGTTCTAAACTAATGAGCTAGGCTCCAATAGTTTGACTTTAATCAGTCAGTGATATTGCAAATACCATTATTATCAGTAACTGCCTAACACAAGATATAATTAAATTCCATTAGTTACGGTTTCGATCCCTAATAATAGTTTTAATGTGCACTACTTAGAAGTTTCATGTTAGTACGAAAAAAACTCCCTAATGTCTTTTTTATATTTTTATTGTTTGCCTGGTAAAGATCAGTTCATGATGTAAAGTAAAGAATTTAACAATCCTTACAATTTTCTATAAATATATTATTGGGATTGATTTCACACAGATCAACATAAGAGACTAAAATTTATGTACAAAAAGTAGATTCAACAAATAATCTAGACTTGTTGGACATTAGACTGATAAGACAGATTATAATTTATAAAAACACACAACTAATGTAGGCTTTGTTAGTAAAGATGGGTAGTGGCTAAAAGTGGAATCCAGGACGCGCGTTTCGTCCCATTCGGGACTCGTCAGCTGAATGTACCTACATCTCAGAGTTGATGTTCACTCTGGGACTCGAACCCAGTACCTTTCACTTCAAACACGTATCCTGGATTCCACTGCTAACCAATATTCATCTTTGCTTACAATGCTTGTGAAATAAGGCTATATCGAGGCAATACACACAGTATGCACATATGTCAATAAGAGACTGACCAGCAGTTGCAGTCCTAAACATCAATGAGAAGATTCAAACAACCAATACTAAGTGAATTTAATGTAGACTTTGCTTAAATGAATAGTTCTACATATCAATCCATTATTCAATAGATAGTAAGAATGACAAATAAGCATAAAATGTTAGAAATCTACCAGTTATTACATTGTTGAGTCAAAATTAACACACACACACACAAAGCTTCATTATAAGTATGATCCAGTTATTCAATCTATTCACATATAACCAATAATAATAATAATAATAATAATAATAATAATAATAATAATAATAATAATAATAATAATAATAATAATAATAATAATAATAATAATAATAATAATAATAATAAGGATCACCTTCATAATATGATACATGATCTATGATCTCAGTTGTATAAAATTATTCAACACACATGAATACATATAAACTAAATGCTCTATTTAAAATAGTATGACGTGTAGGCACCTACACACACACACACAAAGTGAATATCATCATCAGCTGATAGATAATGCAATAGATGATTTTGGTAAAATTATATGGAACCTATTCATCACTAAAAGACATTCAACAACAATAATCTAATCAACACTATCAGTGTGCAATCCATGTCGGTTTTATCTCTTTTTCTTCTTGAAAAAACAGTTATTTGCACATAGATTGTCAAGAAAATAATGATGAGATAATGAAAAAAAATAATTGAATGAAAATAGAAGGTAACAACGTTAACAACAATACAGTTATTAATTGACAAATAAGGTAGAACATAGAATCGATATACATATTTATATCATAGATGGTGATAATTCAATTGTCATTACATGTGTTCAGTTTGATGATCAGAAATGATAGACACAGTATATATATATATATGCCTTAAACAATACATGAAATGTAGATGTGAGATATGGTGTTTTAAAATAGAGAATAATTTGTAAGTCATTATACTAGTATTCAAACATAAATACCATCTGATCATTGATCGCGTATCGTAAGTGGAATCGCCAGAGGTTGAGAGTAGGGTATTAGGTATATTAGCAAGTCAGAGGTTAGGACATACAGTATGCCTAACCATCGCCTACCTCGGCAAACGATGTTGTCTGGTGTAGAAGTGGGTTCGAAAAAAGCTAGGAGGGGAGCAGATAATGTGGTTGGGGTTCACCTAATAACCGAGATCAGTGAGTGTTTGGAGACACTGGGTGATATATGCATTCAATAAACGGTTTTTTTAAACAATAGTTTAAACACCTGAACTGATAGAAAGCGTTCACCATTAAAGATCAGTGCCGCATAGTAAAAGACGAAGTGATTTACGCTAGTCTGAGTCATTATCGAAACCGTCATCAAATCGGTCTGATCATAAAGATCGGTTTTACAATGCGTTCACTAGGACAATTTCGCTCCAAACTTGGTCTATCCTTATATGAAAAAGTGATCGACACACTCAGCCCCCCAAATACCCTGGTACGGCCGAGAGTGGAGAGAGTCCGCTCTCCCTCTCCAAATGATCTCACATAGCCACCGCCAGGAAAGTCCTACTCACTGCCTTCTCGCACAATGGCTGTTGTTTACCAAATTGAGAGGACGAAAAGCGAATGTCCGGAAGGAGCTTTAACCAGGTTGGTGAACACGGAAAGTCCACCTAGGGGAGTTGGAAAACCCTCATTCCAAACCAATGGTGCACATGGGCTCCAGTATCCTGAGGGAACAAACGGCGTATGATCACCGGCTACCATGAGACTGCATCTTCTCACGATGCTCTACAACCTTGTGGATCAGATCTTTCGGTCAAAGGCTCCGGGTGTGGCCCCCTAAGAAAACTACCTGTTTCGGTCTGGGCACCAGGGCAATATCACAGCTCTCACACAAATCAAATGAGATTTGTATGGCGCATATGTATCTGGTGCCCCTTTGTACCAATATTTAAGTGTTTAAATAAATAAATAAAACTCAGCTACATCATCGTCTATCATTAGTTGAGATGTTGACGTAGACCAGCCCTGAAGCAGCATTTTGGATTTAGAGGGAGAGAAATATGCTTGAATTCTCACACAAGACAGTTAGAAAACCGTATATTATGTCAGATTTTTCAACATAAACAGAACTATATCATCTGCTTATGCTAAGCCAATAAAGGAAATTCCTGATAAGTCAGACGATGAGTGTTACCTCTAAAAGAATGACTAGGACAAAGTTAAATAGAAATGTAGTAGACTTAAACACGAGAAGAATCCAAGTAAACTATACACTAACAAAAAGTAGTATGTAAACATAAATTTTCAATTATTGCGGTCAGCTATTAACATTCTTTTGATGAATTAGGTTACCGATCTGTTTATCTTTGTTTAATGAGTGTGTAGTATCTGGTATTTTTTGACTCATTCATTCAGTGAGCGAGTACTGAGTGTAATTATTGCTTTTAGTACGTTTTTCCTGTGGTAACGTTGGGATGTACTAAACTAACATCATCATTGCAGGCAGATATTAATAAATTTAAACGCATAAAATGCAATCAGTAGTAAAACTTAAGGCTAGTGTAATTATTTTCTGGAATGTTTTTCGGCTAATTCAGATCAGTTTGTGTAAAGAAAAAGAGCTTAAGAAATTTATACAATTTGTATAAGTTGGAAAATCACTTTCGTATTTCATCGCGGGCCGATATATAGTCAGTCACTCATTTACAACGTAGGACCCGGCATATATATCCATCGGTCCAATTTGACATACCTTATTAGCACAAGATGAACACTAAATTCATAGAAGCAGTTACTTCAATGGTAGCAATATATAAAGAAAAACATTGCATATAAGATGATATGACTGTTGCTGCTACCCCGACTTGGTGATCGTGTCGCATATCGTGATGAACCAAATTAGGCTATATTGACAGCGACAATTGTTCCTCAAGGTCCTACCAAACCAGGCAGGTAGGCTGAAGGGCGGTAAGACTAAAAGTAGTAAACTCAAGGTCCGACAGTGAAGTCATAATGCTGATTGTACAGAGGTGTGATAGTATTAAAGTGTTTCTTTCAGACGACCAGCATAACAGTAATGCTAATTTTCCACAAGGAAGGGTGGAGTTAGAAAATATCAACCCGAAAAAATGCACACCTCGCCTTATCCGGTGGTGTCAATAAGTATGGAGCTAACATGAAAAGTACTCACAATAAGGTTGTGTGTGACCGACATCAAGCAGCTGTCCCTTAGACACAGCGGTCACGCTCTCAGGTCACTAAGACTACCCCTAATCAATTTCCTTTACAGGTACCTCCAAAAGAAAGCTGGCATGGCGTTTGCCAACTTATGTCACCTACGTCGAAAGCAAGATATCAGTCCATCAATTAAAGGACGAGTATACACTATTCAAGGAATACGAAAGCAATAGAAGTAACAATGTCGAGTAAACAGGACTCAACACAAAGTAAATTGTATCGTCCTAACCTGAATTTTCAGCAGTGTGCATAATAGAAATAATATTATTATCAGTGTAAAGTCCATTTAGTAATTGTTTTAAACAAAAAAATATTAATTTCAATAGTTGAGATCATGAGTCCATTGAAGCTATATCACCATGGAAAACCTGGAAGCACTGGACGGCCGTTTCGTCCTATTATGGGACTCCTCTGCAGTACGCATCCACGATCTCGCCTCGCAAAATACGAACCCAGGACCTATCGGTCTCGCGCGAACAAATAAAAATTAGAAGCTTTAAATTTCTTTTTACCAAATCTCCTAATTACTTTTATTTTTAGAATTTAATCAGTCACAAACAATATAGAGTTTAGGACAAAAATCGTTGAAGCACATCGTCATATCATAAAACAAAATGATATCGGAATAATACAGTATCAAAAATTTAAAAAAAAACTAAACACTGCGAATATAGTTTAAAAAGACAAAGTGGAAACGTATGATGCTTGAATGTATACTAGAACTGAAGATCTAGAGGAAAATAAAGGGTGACTAATTATAAGTCATGTTACTGAACATTTACAACCACTGATCATGATTGTTGTACGAACACCTCAAATATCCAGTCTGTACGTACCAACACGGTTTAGATTAGTAGTTGATGACTTCATTAATTGATGTTAATTCTTAGTTTGGTCGGGAGTAGCTTTCTTCCCAACCTATTTTTACGCAAGCAAGCACCGGCCATTAAGGTAGATAGTGGTTAGGTTTAAATATGACACGTCTTAACCACATCATAGTCAATGAATATTCACTGCCTCATACACTAATTTGAAATCTTTGCCTAACTTTGAAATTCCTCACTACTCAGTCGTTTCATGTTACACAAGTAATGCTTCGAAGACGCATATGATCAAAAATCTTTAGTATACGCATATCTTTATGTATAGATCATGGATTCATAACCGTAGAAAGAGCAATGCTGCACAGTCTTCTCGTTAGTTAGGATGATCAATCCCTCTTAAAAATGAAATGGAAAAAAGTATAAGTCCTCAGAGGACATCTAAGACGAAATTAAATATAAAGAAAGATAATCTGGAAACTCTGATGAATTTTAATTCAACAATAATTTACCAATGTAATTAGCTCCAACATCTGTAGCTAATTGTTCATTCGCTTGAAATATAGACATTTCGCGTAGTAATTTAATTTCAACTTCAGCTTGTTGTACAAAAGAACGTTTATTTTTAATCACTTTAATAGCAACTTCTTCTCCAGTTAATTCATCGAAAGCACGAACAACCTATGTGTATGGTAGAAAAAAAAGTACAACATTTATTAGAAACAATCTTGATTAATTTTCATTGATTCAGATTGTATTACAATCAATTAGTTAGTCACAACTTAGAAACTGGTACGTATGTACATTGGTTCATGTTGTCCTACTCGATTAGCACAGAGGGATGAAATTAAAATATCAAATCCCAGAATAGTGGAGGTAGAAACAGTATCAATGATAATAGAAAAGATTAGGGAATCGAAGATAGAACTCGAAAGGAAAACATAAGTTAGCAAAATTTTAAAAAATAATAAGGAATTCAAAAGCGTACGATAAGGGGGAAGGCCAAGAATGGATGCACCTGTGCCATTCCAAACGATTGAGTCATATCATTCAAGGTCTAACCATTGGTTACGATAAACATGCGGATGCTAACCAGGTAGTCTATACCTATTAACATGGTTAAATCCGATTGTCAGTGACTTCATGACATCATGCTATGTTTTGGTTTGCCATCTTTAGCCGTCTTCTAGCTAAATACAACACCACGCAACATAGCCCGTTGAGGAAATCGGTGGTTGGGCATACGTAACATATGTTTCAACCTCCTCAGTTGGTAAAGTTTTACTACCTCACCAGTCGGTTTGCCATCCCTGCCTCGTACTCTATTCCTAACCCAGGCATTGCTTAATATGTGGTCTTAAGGTACGCAATTGGTGCTCCGGAGACACCTAAAACTGAATACTAGTAACCTACGAATGTCCTTTAATTTTAATGGCCATCTCACACACATGAAGTATAACAGAAAGAATTGCTGCGCGGTAGACTTATCCTTCTGTCAGTAAACGGATATCTCATCTACGTCAATAGTTATGAGAGTTAGCAAAGCGCAACCGAGTTTTATAAATCCGAGCAGATATTTCTTCAGACACCAGACCACCAGGATTGATGAGAGTCAAGATAGGTGAAACAGTTCAACTACTTCACTACCTAACATTATTTCAGGCGCCCATGCTAGCCAATGACGTAACAATTTAGGTAACATATACACCATTAACCAATGTGTATTTTTCACATTGAAGAAAATAATTCTTACAGATTCAAACTTATTACCTTGATGTGTTAAAGCAATTAAGAATGAATGAGTTATCTTGTGTCATCCTTCTAATCTACTGTCCATTATTCATTAAATCCTTACTATCAGGGAAAAACTAAGATAAAATTATAAGTTGCTGAATTGATTCACGAAAAAAAAGACAACCGTATGACATTATCATCTTGAAATTGTATAAAAAACAGAGTTTATGTACATGAAATTAACCAGTATGAACCTGTTCAATTTATAACTTTACTTATATAAATAACTGAATTTCTGTCAGTATAAACGAACTATGCATAGAACAAAAAACAAAAATAGTTTCGGTAAAGCAAATATTAAGGCAAACTTGGAGTTTAAAAAAAAATGGGATGATGATTTAGAAAATTTGGGATTGTCTCTTCTTTCTGAAGTTATTGTCTTTATTTTTGTAAGCTTTCTCGTAATGCATAAACTGTTGTTGTATGCTACAGTTTACTTAAGTTACTGTTCATTTATTAAAGACCTAGTACTTGATTCTCTTTCATTTATGATGTAGTTATGCCGTTATTTTCATTTCTTAATAATGTTGATGTGTGGTTAGGATTTCACTCTAGATTATAGTGAGCTTTGAGTCATGATTGAATTGAGTATCATAAAAACTGGTTGTTAAATTATCTCTTGGACTCAAGGAAAAAGAATGAGAAGGGTGCCCAGACTGTGCCCTCTCAAAGCTAACTGTGCGGGTCATAAGTGTAATTAATCAAGTCCAGGATACTAGGCTATAAATGAAAGAATGGACGCGAGAAACAGAAAATTACAGCCCGAATACCGATTGCTGATATTGATCAGTGTATACAAACAACAATACAGGGGACTAAATCCTGAATTACTACTACTATTTATATTTTTATTGTATAGTAGTTAACAGTATTATTGTTTCTATATTCCCCTTTTTTAACGGAACGAATGTCGTAGATTTGAAGTAATTTTACAAATTATTATTAATCATAATTTAGTTGTATAATTACATAGTGACTGGATTACTACGTTTATATATTTCTCTTTTCATAAGTTTTTCGTTAGCCCATAAACTAACGGTCATAATTTGTTGCTAGTCTATTATTTACGGTTTTTCATAACCGTAGCCCCTTTCGGCTTGCTCGTGTCTGGTTTTTATATTTTATCTCACGGTGTGGTGAGACCCTGTATACAAAAAACCGTCAGTTTAAAATAAAAATGTAGAAAAGGCTGGATGCCAACTTCTAGACTCAATATAGGGCATAGAGAGAGGCTTGTGAATAATAAACCTGTAAGAACCTAGCTGCATCGACTCAAGATAGATAGTGCTGGTTAGGTGTATAATGACTAAGCCAGAGACACTAAGCTATAAAGTAGATAATAGACCAAATTAGAATTAGGATTCTGATTGGTCACTTACCATATGATATTCATTATTGGGTCTTCAGACAAAACACCTTTATTGTAAGCTTTCAAAAATGTTAACTATTGTTATGTGTTTCATTATTCCTCAACTATTGATACTTAATAATATTATGTTCACTTTGTTCTGTCATTTATGGTATGGCTGTATGAAAAGAATGGTTGCCTAATTTGTGTCGCGGTTCAATAGTTCATGTAAGTTAGTGTGTTTGGGATAAATATATTAAATGGTTGAAATATAATAATAAAAGTTTGACTTCTGTTTTTTTTTTTCTTAGACTTAGAAGAAAAGATTACTAATCAATGGACCAATAAGAGTTAAGTTCATGTTAACTCAAATTTATTAGTGTCGGCTGGCACGTATCACTAGGATAGGCGAGGGATTTTAAGTTACAGACGATATAGAATATGCAGGGCAGAAAAATTATAAATGGAATTTCGATTGGCTTACTTAGAGAGTGATAGCGATTAGTGTCTTAGACAAGACAAATAGTTCGTAGATTTTATATCACGAACAAGTTTTAGCTAGACTAGAGTGGAAACAATGGACACCCGTACCGTCCTAGCATGAAACTTCACTGCAGTGAACATCCAAGATCTCGTATCTGAGAAGTGAACCCAGGATCTTTGGTTTCGCGCTCTTACGCCTAATCTTTAGACCACTAGGTCGATATCCAGCTTTGGTAGTGTCTAACATCAATTCACAATGTTGAGCGACCATCTTCTATTACCTGAAGGGGATAACTATCTCACATCCTATTTAATTGGACTCCACTGATTGGGTACGGATTCTCACTAGGACTCCAAGAATTGGATCTAGAAGTTGGTCATATGATTATTATCAGTATATGATTCTGTGGAGACTAGAATTTTCATAGATCTTATGTTGCCAATTACGATAAAACAACAGTTTAGTATTTATGAGTTTTCAATAGTATTCTAAATAAATAAAAAATCTACAGAAATTCTATAATCTCCACAAAACCTAATACAAGTAATTTGTCATAATTTGCAGTTTATTTAAAGATAGGATACATGTCCATAAATTTGTAGTTCATAAGTCTTAAAATGTCCAGTACGTGTGCAGTATCAAGCATTATTTTAGAGCATTTAGTAATTAAGTGCTAAGCATAAATACATAATTTTCACCGAGGATTTCATCTCAAGATTTAATGTTCACTTTATTTGTTTTTTTCATTCAGCAATTAGAAGTGTGATGGACTGGGGTGTTCACAGAAGACTATTTTAGATTATTGAAATTAAATTCCCGATGAAGATTATGATTTTATGTTTAGGACACTAAATGAAGGAAAAAATGTTCGAAAACGTTAGATATTACATATTTAATGAACAATGACAAGAGGATAGAGGATAGCCCCCGAATGCCCTGGTACGGTCGAGAGTGGGGAGAGCCCTCTCTCTCTCTCTCTCTCGAAATGCTCTCATACGGTCACGCGTATACAGCCACCGCCAGGGAAGTCCTACTCACTGCCTTATCACAGCATTACTGTTCCTTACGAAATTGAGAGCACTAAAAGCGAATGTCCGGAAGGAGCTTTAACCGGGTTAGTGAACACGAAAAGTCAACCAAGGGGAGTTGGAAAACGCTCATTCCAAACCAATGGTGCACATGGGATCCAGGGAACAAATGGTGTATGAATCAATCGTTGGTCACCGGCTACCATGGAACTGCATCTCCTCACGATGCTCCACAACCTTGTGGATTATACCTTTAGGTCAGAGGCTCCGGGTGTGGCTCCCTAAGAAAACCACCTGTTTCGGTCTGGGCACCTGGGCAGTATCACAGTCCTCACACAAATCAAATGAGATTTGTGTGGCGCATATGTGTTTGGTGCCCCTTCGTACCAATATTTATGTGTTTAAATAAATAAACAAACAAATCTGACAAGTAGATCATGCGAAAAAAGAAATAATAGAAATAACATTTATGAAATATGAATACTACTGGATCTAGGAGTGTTGAAAGACAATTATAAAGTAAATTATTAAAATAAATGAACTGACAACATCATAACGAAATATATTACATACAGCCTGTTAATAAGTATTTAGTAATTTTAAAGGGTATGCTCACTAATGACTAATTTAGAGAACTAATTCCCAGAGTTCTAGTGAGAAATCTTGATCGGTGGAGTTTATTCATATCAAATGTGAAAGTTACGCAGTATCGCGAATTGATTAAAGTTAGAAATGTAGACTCATTGGCCTAGACTTTAAGCGCTGCTTACGACAAGACTTATAAGTTTTCGTCTCGACCACCGAAGAAGTAGTAGATGTGCATTGCTGAGGAATCCCATATGAGGACAAAACAGGTGTCCAACACTTCGTGGTCTCCAATGGTGACCTAACTAATATCAGTCTGTGACATAAACTATACACAATTCAATAATCTTCACAAACCTCTCATAGTGATTAGAATTTTATTTATTTAAGTGAATTAAACGAATTAAACATGGTTATTTTTTTCTTAGAAAAAAATCTCACTAGTCTGAAAATCAGATACTTATTGACATTTATTATCAATATAGAGAACAAATAGACAATTCTTGAACATTTAACACTAACTAAAGTGGCATTGATTATATTCCATTACAAATGGTATACATTAACACATTATTTAAAGGAACATGGTGAAATTCACAACGTGTGACATGTTTAATGCTCACGAAGAACATGGAAAAAAAGGGCAAGACAGAGAGAGAGAGAGAAAACAAAATCACCGTAATTAATCAGAACAACATAATGAGGATGAAGTAAAGCACCAATTTATCTGAAATTAAACCAACGTATAATAAAGTCGGTTAAAAGCGGCACTTGAGTGTGTACAGATATCAATCTATGTATGTATGCATGTGTGTGTACGTAAGTAGAGTTGTGAAACCCAAAAGAGCATCGATTATATAAAATATATATTATGTATGTACGAAGTAATAAAGTGAGAAAAATATCATAGCAACACAAGTCGCATACAGCCAGACGGTCACACAGACAGTTAGACATAAACATTATATATGTCCAAAATGTGTATGTATGTTGTATGCGTCTTTGCACTTACTACCTATGTATGTATGTCTACGTGTGCACTTGTAAATCGTATCTACGACAACACAATGAATCATGACATACACAGGTGTATGTGTGTGTGGTGACGGGTGGTGATATCACAGAGAACATACATACATACATACATCATGATTAGCTTACACAATATTAACTAACTTACAGTTCAACTAGCCGACTTGAAAATTTATACAAACAGGGACACAAACCCGGCACAGTGATTTATCAAAATGATTCATCATGTTTACGGCCATATATGTACTATTATTTTTTTTTACAACTATTGTTACTATATTACAATTTCGACTGAAACTACTACTACTATTATTACTATGATTACTAGTTTTAACATTACAATCGACCGCACTACCACTGGTATTGCTAATGCTACGATTTTCACCATTGTATCTGTCTATCTATCATGTCGATCAATATAATATGGAGTATATATGTGTATGTACGTATACCCATATGTACCGTATATAGAAAGTATCACAAGGATCTCGATACCAACACACAAGCATTAAAATTTCAAAAAAAAAAAACAAAACAAATAAACATACAGTAAATTTAGGTAAAAATAAGTAAAATTAGGTAATTTTGCACGATATAGAAAAAAAGATATGTATCTATAAGTTGTACCGTTGGTTGGATGTAAATAACGGGAAGAATATAGGACAAAGAGGAGCTTAAAATAACTGCAACTTATTTTTAACCAGTTAGTAATTAGCCAATTACAAGACAGTTTTTTATTAAATGGATAATTTATAGAAAAGAAAATAATTAGATTATAAAGTGCAGACAGATTTTCACATATTCAATGGATCTGTTTAAGTTGTCTATAAATTAGAAAGGGTTTTTTGGTGATTTAGTATTTTCATAGTTGAAAGCGTGAGTCAATTGAAGCTAGACCACCCGGAAAAACCTGGAAGGTCTGGACGGCCGTGCTCTAGCGCGACACTGATAGGTCATGGGTTCGAACCTTGCGAGGCGAGGTCGTGGATGTGCACTGCTGAGGAGTCCCACAACAGGATGAAACGGCCGTCCAGAGCTTCCACCTCTATGAATTAATCTACCAGTAACTGAGAGAAAACTACGTATAAATTCATCCTCATCGTTATAAACAATTCAATTTACTGAAACCTTGATTGATTTCAAAGAGTTCCCTGCACTACCACGATGTTCTTAACTAAGGTTAGTGGCTCTTTTTACCACTAACTGTCATTCAAAAGTGCTCACTGTAGCCATATCATGTACTCACTTACTACTGTTACCTCTTGTGGGAGCATAGGCCCCAGATCGATATTCTTCAACCAACTCTCCCTTCCCAGTCGTTAACACGTGCTATTCGTTCTTTTGATGTCTACCTCGAATTGACGGGGCAATGAATGTTTTGGTTTGCCTATTTTCCTTTAGGATACCAAACTAGGGTTTGCCTCGTGATATAGTTTGGTGATTTCCGCAATACGTATCCTACCCATCTGCAGGGTCTTTTCCTAATTTTTTCTTCAATGTAGCCGTATAGATAAATGAATTTCATGCGAAAATAATCCAAGATGTGCTTCTGATTAGTTTGTCCATAAAATATATCACCACCAGGTTAAGACTCAGTGAAAGCCACTTCTTCAGAGAATAGATAACTAAACATTGTTTGCATTTAACATTATTATTATAATCTATGGTAATTGAAAGTAATTTTTGTTATCATTTTAAACGTTTTGTTGAATAATATACAAAAGTGTTTCTACAATTTATATAATAAGTGATATTTGAATTTCGCGCAAAAAACCTACAAGTTGTATTCTTGCTTCTGATTGGCTCTTCCTTATATCATATTTTTATCATGATATCTTTTAATGTACATAAATTAACGAAATGTAAATTGTAAAGACTTACTTGACCAAATGTACCTTTACCAATTAAGGCTAGAATTTTATACCGATTATACCAGACATCACCAATACGTACAAGTCCATGATGAGGATGAGGAGGATGTGATGGATATACAGACGATGATGCTGATGCTGATTGACAAACAGAATTTGATTGAACTTGACAGGAGTATATAGATGGACCAGTCCCAACACTTGTTGAAGTTAATGTGAGTCCAGTACGAAATCCAGAAGCAGTGGTAACAATATTCAAATTAGTCGATGGATAGGATTTAGGTGGATTACAAGAAGGAAATGATGAACCTGTTCATATACACATACAAAAAAACGTAATAGAAATATGAAAATGAAACAGTCAGTTTTTTTCACGATTAAGTTGAAAAAGGACTAAAAAATCTTGACGAATATTTAGCATTGATAAGAATAAAGAGAAAAGTACATTAGACAACGAAGAGAATATGATTTGCATCATAAAGTCAATCAGTCAGTCATAACGTAGAAACTGGTACGTATTTACATCCGTCCTAGTAAGCATCACAGATTGAGGTAGACGGTGATTAGATATATGTAATACATGTCTTAGCCATCTCGTTATAACTTACATATGAATTCTTGATGTTAAACGATTTTAATAAATACCTTAAAAACTACGTAGTCAATAACTTTCTACCAGACCATATAAAAAACTCAGAAAATTACCTAACACTAAAAACAATTAAAACAACATGATCTATTTAGAATAGACGGTACAGGTAAATGCATGGTCTAACTTTAGGTAAAGAAACGACTGTTAATAAATTACTAAGTACAAATGTGTTAAGAGATTGGATAACTACGACATTATGGATAGATAAATGATTACATTTGATATATAAGTAGCACAGTATTGAGGTCAATCGATAATTATCCAAGACAATTTATGATCTTGAAATTATTCCAAATATAAAAATAAGATTGATTTGGTGAAGAGTTTCTTTTTCATTAAAATCGTGAACCTATCTAACTAAGACTACCGTTGAAAACCTAGAAACACTGGATAGTCATTTCGTCTTAATATGGGACTCTACAACAGTGCGCATTTACGATCTCATAACAAGGACATTCGATTACACACCCGAACACTTAACCTCTAAACCACTGATGCGGCATCCAATAGTGAGGGGTTCCATGTTAGGACAAAATGGTCGTCTAATGTTTCTAGGATTCCAATGTTAGTCTAACATAGATCAGTTCATGATTTCAATGAAGTTCAACAATCTCCACAACCCCTTACTGAAAAGTTTTTTTCTCAAGGAATTCACTATTTTTAAAAGTTACAGACGCAAAGATATATTTACATTCGAAAATGATCAGTGATAATAATAACAATGATAATAGATTCGTTAAACATAGTGACAGAGAGGTAAACACAAAAAATGTTGTTATTGATAAATCTAAGTAAACTATTTAATCAGTTTTCTAAACTCTTTTAATAACCTCAGGCTAAGTCTACACGACAACATGAGAGAAAATGTGTGAAGTGTGAAACGAATACTTTATTTTGAGGTTAGTTCATGCACAGAAAATCGAGGGTATTTACAGTATTTCAGATGTGATTCGGCTTCTGGAACCACACTCAACGTAATAGCAAGATAGGTAATCATCCAATCATAAATGTGACGCGTGACTCTTCTAGATGTCTTCGCGACCCCTCTCGACTCTTTCCATAGATACTTTGGATCTTTCTAACACTTATTAAGAAACTGGAAGATGGGACCGTCATGACATTCAATAGTCATCAAGATAGATAAACATTAATCATTGTGAAAGAAAGGTTGAAGTTGAGATGAACTGTGATCAGGAAGTGTATGGAAACACAAATAAGTCGATCGAATATGAAAGGTCAATAAATAAAGGAATAGGAGAGAAGTTGATGGTCTTTAAACGAAAAAGGAAATTAAAACCATGGTAGTGGAAGGAGCTAGATAAGTTTATTTTGTCTTCACAGTTCTAGTTTATTCAGATGTATAGCATAAAACTTCAGCAATGTTAAGAAAACGAAAGCTCACAGTCTTCGACAGATTTCTACATACATTATAAATTATTTGAAATGCTGTCTGTTTTAATTAACGTTATTTTACGAGTTTTACGTTTTTGTATTAGCCTGTCTATATGTAATGTGACTGATGTACTCCTTCTACTACTACTAGCAGTAGTAGCAGTCGAGCAATAATAAGGGATATCTAACCTACGATGAAGAGAAGTTTTAAACTGATAACTTTATATTTACCAAATGAATGCAGGCGCCTATAATATTTTTGTTATAAATTATCTTGTATCATCGAGAGAATAGCGAAATGAAACTAAGCAGCTCTTTTTGGAATGGTGCAAATATCCGTTAACTTTATAGGCTTGTATGTCAGTGGAGCAATGAAAATGCTGTTAAGCCGTTTAACTTTCAGCTATTAAGTCCTAGGTTTGAACCCCACTTCACTCCTGTCTGGACAGCCGGGCGAGCATCGTTAGCGCTCAAATTCATGTGCCTGGTGGATGAGTTAACTTCCTATAAATACTGTATCACAAAAATGACAGCATATACATTAGGGTACGTACCAACTGAAAAGTACTGCAACGTAGACCTAATCAACTATTCTATGAACTAGTCAGTCCTCGTTGATACAAATAAAATACTAGATTCTAGACACTATGGTGTTATATCACTGAACAAAACCCCTGGGGAAATTCCTGTTGATAAAGAACACTAGACGATATATTCTGTGATAGTGTAGCGTATTTCATTTGGAAGAAACTACTCTACTAGCCGAGTTCATTCGGAAGTCATGAGGCCGATGCACCTTCTTACAACCAGAGTGACAATTTTTTTACAGGTAGATGGAATGTCTGGACAATGTGGGAGACCAGAAGAGTCTTCCAAATTGCTGCAGAATTGAGAAAATACAACCTGGAGGTGCTTGGAATCAGTGAAACACATTGGACGCAGGTTGAACAACAACGACTATCTTCAGGAGAACTTCTGTTATACTCTGGTCATGAAGAAGAAAATGCCCCACATACACAAGGAGTTGCATTGATGCTGTCCAGAAAAACACAAAATGCACTTATTGGATGGGAATCTCATGGACCAAGGATCATTAAAGACTCCTTCAAAACAAAGAGAGAGGGCATTACAATGAACTTCATCCAATGCTATGCGCCTACCAACGACTACGATGAAGACGCTAAAGACCAGTTCTACGATAGGCTGCAGTCGATCGTCGAGAAATGCCCAACCAAGTACCTGACAATTCTGATGGGAGATCTCAATGCTAAGGTTGGAATGGACAACACTGGATACGAAGACGTCATGGGACAATATGGACTGGGACGAAGGAACGAAAATGGTGAGAGATTTGCAAACCTATGTGCCTTCAACAAACTGGTCATAGGTGGCACCATATTCCCACACAAAGGCATACACAAAGCCACTTGGATTTCACCGGATCACACTACACAGAATCAAATCGACCATATCTGCATCAACATAAAGTTCAGGAGGACGATGGAGGATGTGAGAACCAAAAGAGGAGCTGATATAGCATCCGATCATCATTTGCTGGTCGCCAAGATGAAACTAAAACTCAAGAAGCACTGGACAACGGTGCGGACAACATCATAAAAGTTTAATACGGCCTTTCTTCGAGATGCTGACAAACTCAACAAATTCAACATAACCCTCAGCAACAGGTTCCAGGCCTTTCATGATCTACTCAATGGAAAGGGAACTACCATGGAGAGCAACTGGAAAAGTATCAAGGAGGCAATCGTTTCAACATGTCAGGAAGTTCTGGGCCAAAAGAAGCACCATCACAAGGAATGGATCACTGTTGGTACACTGGATAAAATTGAAGAAAGAAGGAACAAGAAAGCAGCAATCAATATCAGCCGAACAAGAGTAGAAAAAGCCAAGGCACAAGCCGAATACACAGAGGCAAACAAGCAAGTGAAGAGGAGCATCAGAACCGACAAACGTAAATATGTGGAAGATTTAGTGATGACAGCGGAAAAGGCTGCAAGAGAGGGAAACATGAGACAACTGTATGATATAACAACGAAACTTGCTGGAAATTACCGTAAGCTAGAAAGACCAGTGAAAAGCAGGGAGGGTAAAGTAATCACCGACATTGAAGAAAAATGAAACACTCCAAAGAACTCTTGAATCGACCAGCTCCACTGAACCCACCCAACATCGAAGCAGCACCCACAGACCTCCCAATGGATATTGGCCCACCAATAATTGAAGAGATCAGCATGGCCATCAGACAAATCAAGAGCAACAAGCTAGCGGGACCAGACAACATCCTGGCAGAGGCACTGAAAGCAAATGTATCAGCAACTGCCAAGATACTCCACATCCTCTTCAGTAAGATTTGGGATGAAGAACAAGTACCAATAGACTGGAAAAGGGACTTCTGATCAAGATACCAAAGAAAGGCGATCTCAGCAAGTGCGACAACTACAGGGGCATCACTCTTCTCTCAATACCAGGGAAAGTCTTCAACAGGGTATTGTTAAACAGGATGAAGGATTCAGTGGACGCCCAACTTCGAGATCAACAAGCTGGATATCGTAAGGATAGATCGTGCACAGATCAAATCGCAATTCTACGTATCATTGTGGAACAATCAATCGAATGGAACTCATCACTCTACATCAACTTCATCGACTACGAGAAGGCATTTGATAGCGTGGACAGGACGACACTATGGAGGCTTCTTCGACACTACGGCATGCCTGAGAAGGTAGTCAATATCATACGGAACTCCTATGATGGACTAAACTGCCAAATCGTTCACCGAGGACAACTCACCGACTCGTTTGAAGTAAAGACCGATGTAAGGCAAGGTTGCTTACTCTCACCCTTTCTCTTTCTCCTGGTCATCGACTGGATCATGAAGACGTCAACATCTGGAGGAATGCACGGGATACAATGGACAGGCAGGATGCAACTTGACGATCTAGACTTCGTGGATGATCTGGCTCTTTTATCACAAACGCAACAACAAATGCAGAAGAAAACGACCAGTGTATCAGCAGCCTCAGCAGCAGTAGGTTTCAATATAAACAAAGGGAAAAGCAAGACTCTCCGATACAATACAATATGCACCAATCCAATTACACTTGACGGAGAAGCTTTGGAGGATGTGGAAACCTTTACATATCTGGGCAGCATCATTGATGAACATGGTGGATCAGATGCAGATGTGAGGGCGAGGATCGACAAAGCAAGAGCAGCATACTTACAACTGAAAAATATCTGAAGCTCAAAACAATTGTCAACCAACACCAAGGTTAGAATTTTCAATACAAATGTCAAGACAGTTCTATTGTATGGGGCGGAGACGTGGAGAACTACGAAAGCCATTATCCAGAAGATACAAGTGTTTATTAACAGTTGTCTACGCAAGATACTTCGGATCCGATGGCCAGACACTATCAGCAACAAGTTACTGTGGGAGAGAACAAATCAGATTCCAGCGGAGGAAGAAATCAGGAGGAAGCGCTGGAAGTGGATTGGGCACACTTTGAGGAAATCACCCGATCGCGTCACAAGACAAGCCCTCACATGGAATCCTGATGGTCAAAGGAGAAGAGGAAGACCAAAGAAGACATTACGCCGAGAAATAGAGACAGACATGAGAAGAATGAACAAGAACTGGATAGAACTAGAAAAGAAGGCCCAGGACAGAGTGGGTTGTAGAATGCTGGTCGGCAGCCTATGCTCCATTGGGAGTAACAGGCGTAAGTAAGTAAGTAAGTAACTCTATCTTGGTAGACAATAAAGAAAGCAGAAGAGACTGAAATACAGAAACAAATGACAAAACAACTCATTCAAACTGTATAAGTACACTTACAATACTATGACTCATTGTAATTGTGAAGTTGAAAGTACTAACTAGATCAGTACATGAAAATTCTTGATCTATTTAACTGAAAGTCAGATGTTTATACTATAGATAGATAAGGAAAATTGTATATAGGAAATCTAGTTCACTAATCAAATTCACATTTCTAACATCTAATATTTGAAGCGATAATTTACCTTGATCGTAGATATGTTGTTGAGAATGGTGAGAGAGATGTGAAGTAGTTAGATCTTTGGAAATAGAATGTTGATTAGGATGGAGAACAGTTGGATGGTGATGATGTTTTATTTGAACTATAGAGGGTCCTTGATGTCGTGACTGGATAATGCCATTGACTCCAGATGATCGTGTTTGTAAATCTGAAGATGATGTACAACAAATAGATCCTGTGACAAGATTGTTATTATTATTACAACCAATACCACATCGATGTGGAGGTACCATAGGAATTTGTGATGATAATGTAGATTGTGGTGCTACACAATGATGATGGTGATGATGATAATGATGATAGTGACATGTTAATGCGGCTGTATTCGCTACAGTTGCAACATTAACTCCTGTTAAACTTCCTGTAGATCCATTTTGACATGAAGGAGCCGGTCCGCCACCATTACCAAAAGTAACAGAACCTTTACGATCTCTTTTTTGAATACTATCCTCGCTAATTTGTTCCCTAATACGACGTTTCTTTCGGTAGTATACCTAAAAGAAAGAAAAGATAAGCAAAATTGCTTAGTGAGGTGGATTTGTGCTAACTTTTAACAGTCAAGTAATCACATACAGAACTTTAATTCTTTTTCTCAGAAACTGTTCTTCGTGTTACACTCAAACAAGTCTTGAGAAATCCATATATTTAAGGATTTCGTAAATTATGAGAATGTCAAATGTCCAATAAAAAAACTACATATTAGACATAAAAAAAAATCAGCGCAAAATTTCTCTCCATAATTCTAGGTTTACAAAAAAAACTTTTCTCAAATAGGACTGAAAAAATGTAAGCAAACAAACACATTTTTAATAGTTTTACAATACGAAAGTACTTTAAAATAATTGATTGAATTAGTAAAATATTATGACATTAGAGGTTGGATAAGAGCTAGGAGAGGTCAGATCAAAATATAGAACATGTTATTAAAATAATTGACTGCTGGAATGAACTTTATAGCGAGATAGAGACATTCAGGATGAGGTTCATGAAATAATTATGATCTATGGTTGGAAGTTTTAAGTATTATGAGTCAAAAATGGTCACAGAAGTGAAGATTTGTTCACGGTTAGGTTTCAAACACTTCATCTCACTTTTTTGAAATACAATCTGTCAGCCCCAAAGACACTGATACGGCCAAACGTGGGGAGAGTTCGCTCTTTTTCTCGAAATGTTCTCACATGGCCATGGGCACACAGCTCCTGACGGGGAATTCCTACTCACTGCTTTCTCTCGATCGGAGTGTTGTTTACGAAATTCAGAAGACAAAAAGCGAATATTCGGTAGGGGTTTATAAACCGGGTTGGTGGATATGCAGGACCTATCTAGGTGGGTTGCATAGCCATGATATCAAACCAATATTAAACGTGGGTTCTAGGAACCTGAGGGAACAAATGACACATGAACCTATTGTTGGTCACCGACTAACTTGGGATTATATCTTCTAACGTTGCTCCACTGTCCTCTTGATTAGACATCTAGATCAAAGGTTAAAAAAGTAATCCCCTACGAAAACCACCTCCTTTGGTTTAGGCACACGAGCAGTATCACAGCCCTCACACAAATAGAATGGCGAAGTGTAGCGCACATACATTCGGTGCCTCCTCGTACCGATGTTTAAGTGAATAAATCTTGTATGTTTAATTTGTTAGTGCCAGTAAGAATAATAATAATAATGTTAATAATAAACTACGATAAATTCGACGTTTATTGTGTTAATCATGGCAATCTTTAAAAGTTCTGATAGTGTGGTAAACTAAGATGATGCATATATGTGTCGTTTCCAAAGTCTTAGATGAGTTGTAAGGAGCCTGAAAAAACCCAAAGCTTATAAGCGGGACAGTTAAAGAAGCCACAAGCAACTGCAATTGCAACAAATGCTCATCTATGCTTTTCAGTGGGACGTTAGCTAGCGTTGAACCTAGCTCGGTTAGATACTTAGTTGCAACAGAAGCTCCAATCAATTCACTGACCTCAATTCGTTTAGAACGATGAATTCGTTGGCCACTGAAAAATAAGGTAAGATTAGCGGGAACAAGGGTATGATCAAAGTTCAGATAGGTACTCTGAAAGGAGTAGCAGTCTTGTACACAACCACACCAGTGGTAGCTGATCGCCATGTTATCAATCTGAGTCCAGGCTTGAGATGCACAGGAAGAGCGCCAGATGGCACATCGGAGATGACTGTGCTTGTAGTTAGTGCTAGTCAGAAACAGGTTGTGGTCTGCGTACAGTTGCAGTAGACGGTCCTCCTTATCTGACCTGCGACCAATAAGTTCCCATCGACCACCTAAACGACTCTCTTCTCTACCTAGACGCCCAACCCGAGCACTAAAGTCTCTGGCTAGTAGTACTACAATACCCGTCGAACACACTTTCTGTGGAAGAACTGTTAACTGGTCGTAAAACTCATCCTCAACCACATCCAGGTTGCAATCTCTCAGAGCATAGACGGAGATGACGAGAAGACATCGCTTGTCACACCAATCTCTTCTTATTTTGATGGGATTTTCTAATCTAACAGTACATAACTGACCGTTAATGGGGATCCAGTCGATTAGTGCTGCCTCAGCTCAAGCGCTTAATGCGACACCAACGCCAGCAAAGTTGGAAAATAAGGATACACAAAGTGAGAATAAAGGATATTAGATAAGTGACGTGGTATATAAAAAAATATAAATGAATGTTATCAAATGGATGTGATTTGTCTGAATTTTGATTGTAGCGAGAACAGTATTTCCAGTAATTATTGTCATCTCATTTTATTTGTATGTGGTCTGTGATACTGCCCGGTTGCCTAGACCGAAGCAGGTGGTTTTCTTAGGGCGCCACACCCGGAGCCTATGACCTAAAGGTCTGATCCACAAGGCAGTGGAGCATCGTGAGGAGATGCATTCCCATGGTAGCCAATGACCAACAATTTGTTCATACGCCATTTGTTCCCTCAGGATAATGGATCCCATGTGCACCATTGGTTTGGAATCAAAGGTTCCTAACTCCCCTAGGTGAACCCTCCGTGTCCACTAACCCGGTTAAAGCGCCGGACATCCGCTTTTCGTCCTCTTAATTTCGTAAACAACACTCGTTGTGCGAGAAGGCAGTGAGTAGGACTTCCATGGCGGTGGCTGTAATCTCGTGGTCATGTGAAAGCAATTCGAGAGGGAGAGTGGACTCTTCCTACACTCCTCTGCATCAAGGCATTTGAAGGCTTGTACCATTATTATTATTATTGTCAATTCACTATCATACAATGATTTCTGTTCGTTATTGTTCCCCTTTTTTTATACATACCTTACATTCTCTATCTCTTCACATTCTTATTGTTATTTCGTGGCATATATGCATCTAGTGCCCTTTTGTAAATTAATTTGATCCCATGAACAATTATATAATAAAGAAATAAAGTGACGTAATTTTACATTAATAAATGTATGCGTCTACATGAAGAACCTCACAATGCAGATATGAACTAATCAATTTGTACGAAGTACATTTTATGCCTTATTGTATCATAAAAAAGTAATTATTTAGTTCAGAATGATAACCCAACAGAGGAAGGTCACAAGCTATAAGTAACGAGTACATTCAACTATTTACTAAGTTCCTTCCAATGCGATTAATAGCTCAAGATATTCTTAAAAATTCTTATTAATGATGTAGTTTCCAGGGCATTTGACGTTCCAATAGAGAAACTTTGAACAAACTCATACATACTTAAATTTCTAGACAAATAACGATTAAGATATATATATATGACAACGATATAACGCCCCAGCTAAATATAATTTTGATCAATAGAAGTTTAGAGAACTATTTTTAGATGATCATTAAGACAATTAGAAATCGAGATGTTGGTTATAATTGACAAAAAAGAGAACAACGCTGAGTATATAAGCCTACTCAATTACGACATATGATTGATTCAGCTTATCGGTTCTGGTTCAAACGCGACGGAAAAATCGCTCATTTATTTTATTTTACGAATATAATTGGTTAAATTTATGTGTTACACATGTTTTCTTTTCACCGCTGAATGAATTCATTTTAAAGAAGTTAATTTAAGTTAAAATCAGTAGCGGGGATTGTTATATACTAGGGAAGAAGTAAGTACGGATAACTTACGGGACCTATTATTGGACTATTATTCTATGTATATTCTTATTGTATAACTATTCAGTAACCAGATTATATATATATATATATTCATCTTATTGTAAGCTTCATTTTGACATATTGATTATTATTATATGATTTACTGTTCCTATGTTATGCTCAGTTTATTGATTATTGTCTCCCACGCTTACAACCTCATTTGGCTTGGTTTTTTACAAATATTATTTTCTATTTTATGGTGTGATGTGGTCTGTCTGTCTGGTATATAAACCGAGTATGCTTGAAATAAACGATTCGCATAGATTTGCATAACAGAAGCTGTCATTGGTGTTCTGGACTCATGTGGAAGTGCTAGGCGGATAAAGGACCAATAAGGACGCTAGATTACTCATACGAATCGAACGTCGTAGTCACAGTGTGAAGGTCGTGGAAGTCGTATTCTATTGGTGGACAGTCCACGCAAGTTACGTCCTTGTTTAATTCGTAAGGTCATAACAAATTAGCGACGACCTTGACCAAGACATAACAATTGGCGACGGCTAGGTCAAGTCATAACAGGGATGCCGATATATATCCGATTTTTAGAGCTAGGAATCATGGTAAACTAAACTGATGATAGTTCCTTGGGCAATGTAAATGTTATTGTGCTTGAACATCTTAGACGACACAAATGATGGATCAAAAAGCAGACAAGATAGTTTGAATGGTATGGAAAGATTATAGGAGCTAACAGATTTTATTAATATCTTCTAAAATAATATGTAAAGACAAATGATAAAATTATTTGACTAATATAAATAAACTTGGATCAACTTTGAATGTTAGTTTTCCCAAAAATTGGAAAAAAACTTGTAATCTACACAGTAGACCTGAATGAGGACACTGGTCTATAGAATTAAACATTAACGGTAGGATAGTTTTTCTTTTATTCGAATAAATACAACATATGTCAAGGTAATAGGATATTTGTACGTAACTGTTGCTACACGAGCATTGTAGACATTGTTGAATATTATTGAGATCACAAGCTGACAATTACTAGGAATCAGGGAGGAGTGGACAGCTATTTTATCTTAGTAGCCCCCAAATGCCTTGGTACGAATTGCTTTCACATTGCCACGAGTATACAGCCACCGCCACGGAAGTCCAACTCACTGCCTTCTCGTACAACGAGTGTTGTTTACGAAATTGAGAGGACGAAAAGCGAATGTCCGGAAGGAGCTTTAACCGGGTTAGTGGACACGGAGGGTTCACCTAGGGGACCCCTGATTCCAAACCAATGGTGTACATGGGATCCAGTATCCTGAGGAAACAAACGGCGTACGAACCAATCGTTGGTCACCGACTACCATGGAACTACATCTCCTTACGATGCTCCACTGCCTTGTGGATCAGACCTTTAGGTCATAGGCTCTGGGTGTGGCCCCCTAAGAAAACCACCTGCTTCAATTTGGGCATCTGGGCAGTATCACAGCCCTCACACAAATCGAATGAGATTTGTGAGGCGCATATATATCTGGTGCTTCCTTGTACCAATATTTATAATTTTAAATAATAATAATAAATTATTTTAGTATCGAAATCTTCAGCAGTGTACAACGACTCCATCACAGAGAATCAAACTTGGGAGCTTGAAATTTCTTTAAGAGAACTTAACCTCTAAACCACTGAGTTAGTATTGAGAGGTTGAAATGTGTAACATCGATTACTTCACGATATTGCCCAACTATCGACTATTGTTCTCAGTGGGTAACTGTCTCATACCCAGAACCCCGTCGACTATAGCTTCTCCTTAAAGCTACAGGGATTTCTTCTCGAAGTTAGTCACCAGCGGGTAAACGATCTCAATAATATTTACAGATAAATTAGATTCCTTAATCCAATTACTGTCTTCGAGTGAATGAAATTGTATATTAGTCAAAAAATTAAATTACCTAATTACCTCAAAACTTCCATAAAGACATTATTTCTAATCTTATAAGTATTACAGTAGATCTTTGTGCATTGGAAGACAGGGAAAATGACAAGGTTTATGAACTACAAGCATTAACATGAATTATTGAACTATTTTTTTCCAATGGTGCATAATTTAACTCTATTAGCGTAATAACAAAACTTACCTCATTAATATTTTTATACGTTCGAATAAGATTTACTGACATTTTTATGACAGGTCGTTGTTCTATATCTCGAGGACAAGGATACTGATTACTAACATTTACAACTGGTTCACAATGAGTAACTATAGTACCACGAGTATTATTGCCTAATCCAACATCTTTGACATGATTACATAATGTTGAATTACAAGTAATTTCATCCGCAGTGGAAACAGAAAATGGAAAAATAGGATAACAATAAGTATTTAATCCGCTCTGTGAAGTACTACTTTGAAGTAAGCAACTAGATACTACAGTTGTAAGATTTTTTGATAATGATGGACTACCTGGTTGTCCACCTATATCCATTGCAGTTGGTTGAACATCGGAATGGCATGAAAATATAAATGATTCTGAACCAAGTGAATGTGATAATTCCATAGGTTGATGAATATCTCTGTTAGTATGTTGTTGTATTTTAGTGATTGTTGGATCTAAATTGGCGTAAGCTGATTGAGCCACTGTAATCTGAGAAGTAGGTTGACAAACATTTGTACTGGCAGTTACGTTAGTATTAATTGTTGATACGGTTTTTTGAATTTTATTTTCATATGGTGTTGATTTAATGCTAGTTGGGCATAGATTAGCTTTTTTTTGTCCGATCTCGACTGGCTTAGTAATTTCATCATTTGTATTCGTGGTTGAATGTTCCAACTGGCATAACTGGTCTGCTGTTACCAATTGACCATAAATAGCACCACACGCACTCAATACAGGTGATGAAGATAGTGGTGGTTGATTTGCCTGACATCTGATAGTGGAAATTTGTGAAATGGCAGCATCAGACCAGTTGGATACTAGCAGACTATTCTTGCCAATACTATGAGTGTTTGCATTGTTTAAGGATAGATCACTACTAACACGAGTGCTTGACTTCCCTAGTCTTTCGCCACTTACGGCCATGTGAATAAACTTTAACCGATTAACTGTAGAACAAATGCAAAATGAAGAGAAAAAATTCACGGTGAATTTTGTAAAATAAAAGTAAAAAAATGCGAATTATACATAAATACATTGTAACTAGTCAGTCAGTCAGTTACAACGTAGAACTTCGTACGTACGTACATCAGTTCAAGTTGCCATATCACATTAGCACAGAGAAGCAGTTGTCGATTCAAATCCCATAGTGATAGAAGTAGTAAGAGTATAAGCAGTAAACCGAAAGATTAGGGTTTGAAGATATTATTCAAGGAGTGTAATACAGTGCTACCTTGACGTGGTGATCGGGCTTGCCTATCGTGATGAACCAATCGAGCGATACTGGCTGGAACAATCGTTCCTCAAGATCTTACCATGCCAGGCAGGTCGGTTGAAGAGCGGTAAGACTAAAAGCAGCAAACCCAAGGTCCGAAGGCGAAGTCGTACTACTGACTGTAGAGAGGTGTGACAGCAGTAAGGTGTTTCCTTCAGACAATCAGCATGACAGCGATGCTGCCTTCACACAAAGAGGGATGGGGTTAGAAGAGGTCCACCCTAAAAATGCACACCTCGCCTTATCCCATGGATATCCGTCTCCGGCGGCAAGGTCCTTTGAAGTTGTTGGGGATGTCAAATCCCCAGAACTTACTTGGTAAATGGCTTAGTTTTGTAATTTTATTTTGAAAATTTGAATTTAGCTGTTTCCGCGCCAAACGCGCTCTTTTTACCTCCACGTCATATTTCCCACTTGTAAACTATCTTAAACGCTATTGGTCCATTGTTTCTTTGTGTGTGCTATTTACTAATGATGCTCAAGGACAAATTGTTGTTGTATAAATGCGCTTGACTTTTTCCCTTATTTGATTGCTTGTACTCGGCTGCTTACGGAATACATATATATTCCCCTACTTGCCTTGGACTTCTTCATCTAGTTAGCGGGGCCTGGGACAACAGATTAGAATAGCTTATCGTGTCATTGGCTTTCGTTCGTTACCGCGGAATCGATTTAGTTTCAAGCATAACAGAAGTACGGAGCTAACACGTCAAAAATCCCCCACAAAAAGGCCGTGCGTAACCGGCCTCAAGCAGTTGTCCCTTGGACACTGCGGTCACGCTCCCAGGTCGTTATGACCAACACTAATCCAACTTTCTTTTCAGCTCCCTCAATAAATACCCTTCCACGGTGTGAGCAGCCGGGAAGTGATGTTAGCCCTCATACCCGTAACTGCACACGAAACCAAGTTGGTCACTTTCAAATCATTCCTACACCTGCTAATAACTCTCTTATCTCCACGACTGTAACTAGCCACTGAACTTAGACACGACCACAGTTGCTACCTATACATAATAGTTCAGCTTGTCTGTCATGATCGTATAAACAACAAAAATTGATTAGAATAACAATTGATTCAGGTTCTTTCGCAGAGTGGTATCAGTCATAGTAAAAAATATTGGGTATTGAGAGCATGGTTCAAGCAGAATGAATTCGTGAAATAAAGTAGTTCAGGAACTAATGTTTTAGGGGAAGAAAAGGTGAGAGAATTTGCGCTTATATGACCGATTTTGAGACATGTCACTTAAAATCCCGAACCACTTGATCGTTGTTACTATTTAGATTTCAATTACGCAGTCTAAACAGTCTACTCTGATTCCAAACCAATGGTGCACATGGGATTCAGTATCCTGTGGGAACAAATGACTTATGAATCAATCGTTGGTCACCGACTACCATGGGAATGCATCTCCTCACGATACTCCACTGCCTTGTGGATCAGACCTTTAGGTCAGAGGCTCCGGGTGTGGCCCCCTAAGAAAATCACCTGCTTCGGTCTAGGCAACCGGGCAGTATCACAGCCCACATACAAATAAAATGAGATGACAATAATTACTGGAAATACTGTTCTCGCTACAGTCGGTCACAACGTAGAACTTCGTACGTACGTACATCAGTTCGAGTTGCCATACCACATTAGCACAGAGATGCAGTTGTCGATTCAATTCCCATAGTGGTAGAAGTAGTAGGAGTATAATCAGAAATCCAAAAGATTAGGGTTTGAAGAAATTATTGAAGGAGTATAGTACAGTGAAATAAATTTGGAAAGAGAAAAATATAAAGACATGAGGAATTCAGAAGATTAGAATTTGGTAGAACACAAAGAGTGGATGCACCTTCGCCATTGCAAACGATTTTGAGCCATGTCATTTAAGGTCTCTAACCATCGGTTGCTATCATCTCGCGAATCCCAACCAGGTAGTCTACACCTACCAACATGGCCCAGTCCACTTGTCAGTGACTTCATTGATTTGTGCCACGTTTTGGTCTGGCCACCCCTAGCTTTCTTCCAACCTACTCCTACACCATGAAACATTGCACGTCGGGGCAGTCGGTGGTCGGGCATACGTAACACATGTCCCAGCCATCTCAACTGATGAAGTTTCACTACTTCATCAATCGATTTGCCATCCCTACCTAGTACTCGTTTCCTAACAACTGCATTACTTACCCGGTGGTCCCAGGATATACGAGCAATGCTTCGAAGACACCTATGATCGAACACTAGTAGCCTACGAATATCCTCTACTCTTACTGGCCATGTTTCACTGCCATAGAGTAGGACGGAGCGAACTGCTGCACAGTAAACCCGTCCTTTGGTTGCTAGACGGATATCTCGCCTACGCCATAAATGACGCAAGTTGGCGAAAGCTAGACGAGCCTTCTGTATCCGTGCTGAGATTTCGTCACATACCAGACCACAAGGGCTGATGAGACTCCCAAGATAAGTGAAGTGGTCTACACACTCAACTACTTCACTCCCTATCATTAGTTCAGGTGTCGATGCAACCCAATCCTGAAGTAACATTTTGCACTTCGAGGGAGAGAATCGCATCCCGAACATGGCTGCATAGTTGCTTATAGTAGTCAGAAGACTCTGCATGTTGTCAGCGTCTTCACCGAGTAAAACTATGTCGTCGGCGTATTCTAAGTCAACAAGTGAGCCTCCTGGTAAAAGTTCAACTCCTGGAGGTTTAGCTGATGAAAGTGCTATTTCTAAAAGTATGTCAATAACAAAGTTAAACAAGAATGGGGAGAGTGGACAGCCCTGACGAACGCCACTTGTGGTAATCAGTTCTGATGACAGTTCGCCATAGGCTCTAACTCGACCAGTTGTGTTCGAGTAGAGAGCCTTTATGAGGTTAATGTACTTCTTTGGTACTCCTTTCAGTGACAAACATTGCCATAGAACCTCACGATCAACGGAGTCAAATGCCGCCTTAAGGTCAAGAAATACTAATACTGTGGGACGTCTGAATTTGTGTCTATGTTCTAGGACCTGACGTAGGGTGAATATCTGGTCTATGCAACCACGTCCAGGTCGAAAACCAGCCTGGTTTTCTCTAGTCTGCTCTTCACGAGCTTTGGTTAGGCGACCTAGTATTATTGAAGCTAATATTTTAGACACCATATTAGTCAAACTGATCCCTCTGTGATTGTCACAGGAGGACTTTTGTCCTTTCTTATAGACTGGCACAATCAGTGATTTGGACCAGTCAAATGGAATTACGTCCAGTTCTCAGATTCTACCTAAGACCTCGGTCAATCTTGTTGCTAGTACTGGACCACCATCCTTAAAAATCTCAGGGGTCAACCTGTCAGGGCCTGCTGCTCTCCCTCGCTTCAGATTTCCTATAGCTTTTTCAACCTCACAGAGGGTTGGAGGACTTACATCAATTTGCCATTCAGGACGACTGGGGATCGTGGGTAATTGAAGTGTGGCTGAAGGCCAGTTGAACTGATCCCTAAAGTGTTCTGCCCATCGATCTAACCTCCTGGATTGAGAATGAATAATATGCCCATCTTTATCTGAGATGGTTTCACTGATATTCGGGTTCCTAATACCGGTTTCTTTAACGAGTCTGAATAGCTGCCTACTGTTACCTATTGCCGCTGCCTTTTCCATCTCTCTTGCTTTCGCTACCCACCACTGTCCACGATCATTACGTAGGCTTCTTATTAGCCTGCGCTTAGGTTGACTCCGCTCTTCGTTATGCTCAGAGCCAGGTGGGATGAGTTTACGAGCATCTATCAGTGCGGTAGATGCTGCCGAGATCCATTGTTTCTCCCTAACGTTATGGTTTACCTTATTAGCGGATATCACTGCTGTTTCCACAGCTTTTCGGATGTCATTCCACGCTGCCTCGGGGTGGACACAACTTACATGGCTGCCTAACTGTTTTTCTAGTTGTTCCTGAAATATATTCTTAGCTTGCCTATCATTAAGTAGAACCCTTAGAGGCTTCCCTGCAGTGTCTTTCCTACGACCAGTAAGACGCAGACAGATACGTGCTCGCACTAGAGCATGATCTGAATCTAAGCATGTTCTCGCTACAATTAAAATTCAGACGAATCACATCCATTTGATAACATTCATTTATATTTTTTTATATACCACGTCACTTATCTAATATCCTTTATTCTCACTTTGTGTATCCTTATTTTCCAACTTTGCTGGCGTTGGTGTCGCATTAAGCGCTTGAGCTGAGGCAGCACTAATCGACTGGATCCCCATTAACGGTCAGTTATGTACTGTTAGATTAGAAAATCCCATCAAAATAAGAAGAGATTGGTGTGACAAGCGATGTCTTCTCGTCATCTCCGTCTATGCTCTGAGAGATTGCAACCTGGATGTGGTTGAGGATGAGTTTTACGACCAGTTAACAGTTCTTCCACAGAAAGTGTGTTCGACGGGTATTGTAGTACTACTAGCCAGAGACTTTAGTGCTCGGGTTGGGCGTCTAGGTAGAGAAGAGAGTCGTTTAGGTGGTCGATGGGAACTTATTGGTCGCAGGTCAGATAAGGAGGACCGTCTACTGCAACTGTACGCAGACCACAACCTGTTTCTGACTAGCACTAACTACAAGCACAGTCATCTCCGATGTGCCATCTGGCGCTCTTCCTGTGCATCTCAAGCCTGGACTCAGATTGATAACATGGCGATCAGCTACCACT